TTCAAATGAGCACTCATAAAATGTACAGATAAGCATTAGTGTTTATTGTTGTGCTAATGTATGTATGAAACCCATCCACTTGGTAAAAATTTACATTTTTAATAATATATACTGCATGCATACGTTCAAGCTGAGATTAGTATTTTCCAGGCCCAGTTTTATTTTTTGTCCACAGCCTCATCAAGGGTTATGTTAATATTATTAATGACTGTAATGCAGAAATACCAGGTAAAATTCTCAAAATCTTAACATTCAATGCAGAAATACCAGGTAAATTTCCCATTTTCTCAAAATCTTAACATTTACCTTTTAAAAGGTTTTCCCAAAATATGTTTTTTTTCAGTTAGCTTCAGTCGCCTACACAGTCGTTCTTGGAGGGAAAAAAAAACACAGATAACAGCCCCACCCCCTTCAAACAAAAAAAGAGAAAAAAAGAAAAACAGAAAAATAAACAGTAATAAAAAAAACCTAAGATGCCGACCCATTCCATTAAGGACAGGAAACCAACTCATCTGGGTATTCTAAGCCGATGCTTTTCAATATTTCCGTCTCCTCAGAAAACCACTCTATATTCCAAGGCTTTACTCTGGATAACACAATCGGCAAATCCCCAGAAAGGAAAGGGTCTTTTTAAAGATGAATTCCCGTGGCATTTTCGAGTTCCACCTCGATAAATATATTTGGGGTTTTTTTCAAGTGCTATTTTCGTAGCAATGTAACAGTTAATAAAAAATAAAAAAAATGCAGGTAACACCATGTGGAAAGATATCTCTTCTTGGAAAAAGTGTGGTTCTGAAAAGAACTGGTTGGTTGAGTGTAGAACTCAACTTTTCGGACAGTGTGCTCTGTCTGTCCTCAGGATATAACAGTTATTCACATTTGAATGAGACATTGAACAAAAATCCACCATCGTTGAGTTTATTATTTCTTCACAAACTTTGAATTCTTGACTGCTGGACAATAATTCATCTCTCACAGCGCAGGGCAGGTTATTTGTGCACAAAATGAAAGCCCCTTTTTTAGAGGAATGCAGATGCCCAACATCGGAATGAAACAGTTTTGCGGTAAAACATAAAAAACAAATCAATTTTTTTTTTAAGAGCATGGGTACATCATCTTTAAATACAAATTCGTATTACAGTTGGAAAGCATTTCTCACTGATATTTGATGCATGTTAATTCACATTGGGACTTGAAGTTAACACGGACATTTTTTTAATCAAGAACTGAAGAACACTGCTGGGAATTTATTTTTTAATGGCATTATTTTTTTTCATATGATATTGTAATGGATGGTCTTAAGGCCAAAAATAAAAATGTTCTGCTTCCGCTAACATGGCATTTGAAAATAGGGTAGGTAGGTAGGGAATTTTTTTTTTGGCCAATTTTTTTTTGTGCACGATCATATGGGGGTGTCTGCGTGTAGTCAAGGGTAAAAGGTACAAATTGATGGTTTTAGGTGTTATTTTCTTATTTTTCCAATAAAAAAAATCAGGGTAGGGGCTGTCAGAATAGGGTAGGTAGGGAAGCAGAACTATTTTTTTTTGGCCTAACAAGCTATTTAAAGAGTATCCTGGCAAAGTTATTGTTGAAAATTATACTTGGTTTAAAGATAGTAATGGCACTAAACTGCCTGCGATATTATTCTTTCTGGCATGCTGGCATTTTGAAGAAAACAATAAAAGAAGGTCATTTCCAAAGATGCGTCTAAAGATGCATTTTTGGAAGTTTCCGTTAGTATCGGTAGTTCGTTTTTAAATCGGCAAACCTGTGAATGGTGCGCGCAAGTGTTGACACGAAGCACACGCACTCTCGCGCGGTTGCTATAATTTGTCCGTTCAGTGCGTGGCATCGCGTAGCTGTATTCGGCCACATGAGAAAGTGTCCCAGATGCTGATTTCAGGCGCAATTCAAAACATGACTCGACAGCTTTTTTAACTGAAATTGAGATTCTGGAACATAGTTTCTATATACAGCATTCACTGAGCTAAAACTTCATCAGGTTAGTGTTAAGCACCCCTCTTTAGATTTTGAGCACTTTTGTTGCTTCAAACAAACAAAAAGCTCAAACCACAAATAATCCACTCTATCTTTAAGTACACAACATGATACTTGTCATATAAGGCCCTTTCACAGAATCTGAAAACTCCGTGTTAGACGCTGGTCCAACACAGAGATACCTTTCACACGAGCAAATATCCAATCCTAGCTGGTTGTGTCCTTTCTCAAAGTTGTGACCTTGCTTAATTCTCTCATGACCAGTGGTGCTTCAAGCCTTCTAGCCAAAGTGTATGAGTTCCTTCTCTTAAGAGATTGATCTAGTAAACTGGACAGCTGAATTTTCCACATGGATTACTTAGCCTTTTGATACTCCGAAAGAAGCTTTTGTGAGTCCAAAAATCCTCTTTTCCCCCCCCCCCCCCTTTTTTTGCTTGCTCTTTTTCATAAATTGACCCCAGGTCTCCAGAGTTGATAAATTTAAATTTGTAGGGCTGCTTGTTGTTCATTTTTTCTGATGCAAGGCTCGATAAAAGCTTTTGGAGGGGAGCATTTCTTTGGATTTTTTTACCTGCATTGTTTTTTTTGCTATTGGGTTTTTCCCTTCACTGACTTATTTTTATTGTATAATTCATAAATACCTCAGACAGTTTAGCTACCGGTATTCCTATTGGTCGAGAGCCCGTCACGTGGCCGGTCTTAAATGGATGATAAAGACATGGCTAGCTGGTCTTAAACACTTTTCCAGTGTCACAATAAAATGTGGACTCCTAAAAATCCAGTGCCTCTTACCCTTTCATTGGTTGAAAGTTCACAGTTCTCACGTAGGCATGCGCAACACTACAAGCGAGTCAGAATTTTATAGTTCTAAATTCAAAACGCAACGCCCCAGGTGCGTTCTGCGCGACATCGTGCAGAACATGCTACGCGCGCGTCAATCTCCATAAAAGGGTTGTTTACATCTTACTCGCCAGCTGAACACTCCATTATTTTGCTAGAGGGATGTTTCCAAAAGCATGAAGTGAACAAAATCATGATTTTTTTAACGAATTATTTGATATTTTTTTACCGGAAAGGTATTTATGAATGGGAATAAATATGTGCTCGGTCGGTATTTATCACTTAGTTTAAGACCACTTAGAGTCTGGGTGCTGATAATTACCCTCGCCTCCGGCTCGGGTAATTATCAGCACCCAGACTCTAAGTGGTCTTAAACAGAGTGATAAAAACCTCCGGAGCACATATTTATTCCCTCATTACTGTATACTCGGTGTTGTCCTGGGTAATTACTACTTGGGTGGGACTCGAACCCACAACCTCCTGCTACTAGTGCAGACGTGTTACCACTTGACTACCGAGCTTTCCGGGGTCAGTTGGCTGGTTCAAACCTGATAGCAGCGGGTACCGCAACTAAACTATCCATGAGATGGAATTTGCATTGGGGTGTTGTAAATTCAAAATCGGGTGTCGCTCTTCACCGACGTATTATAAAAAATACGTCGGTGGAGAGCAAAACCCATAATTGAATTGACATCACCCCGACGCAAAATTCCACCTTTATGAATATATAGGCCTAAAGGAATATTTATCAGCCTTGATACCACATGTGAGGCTGTGATGCTTGTAGTTCTGAAGATTTCATAAATGTTCTACATTTCAGTCATGTCCACGTTTGCATGGAATTGCCTGCAAATGGTAGGCCTAGTACCCTCTGGAGAAAAAAACAACAGCTGCTTCCAAATACGCATAATTGCGATTAGTCGTGCAGTTTTTATTTCAGACAGTACTTTGTTCAATTACTGACATGCCATGCATGTAAATATAGATCAGTGCTTCCTGAATTAAACAGCGGCAGTGCCAGTTGCCCTAGAAACAAGAAGCCCTATGTTACAAACAACGCAGGTTTTTTCCTTGTTTCCTCCCTCTACCATGGCCATTTAATTAAAATGGTTGACAACGCCCAATCACAGTATTGAAGTTTTGTGTTTGCAAAGCTTGCAATGCTCTACCCGTATGTATGCACAAAACAGTTTTTGCGTTTTCAGAAAAAAAGTATTCTCCTAATGGAGTAATGCATTTCTGAAATTAAGCATCCATTTCCCATGAGACTTTTGAGTACAGATGTTGAAAAGCATTTTGTATGGCATTTGTCTTTGAAGTTTGTACGCTTGTTTTTTTTTTCATGGTTGTATAAATTGAAAGTGATTTTGCTGGGCCGGTTTTAAGACTTTAAATGTCTGAGAATAACAGCGTGATGTCTGCCCTACATTGTATTTGTGTCATCTTGGTGCTCGTCCAGATGAAGATTAATTGCAAACTGTATATGTACATGTGTGTACATGTTTCAGCATGCGAATGTGTGTGACAGGCTGTATGTGCTGCAAACTGGAACTCTCATGAGTACGCACACAGGCCCATCTACCGTGCATGCAGTAAGCACTGTCGATATCAGAATTTTCAATAATCAATATAGCGGAAATCCATTATTGAGAATATTTGGTATATCGATTATCCCATGTAAAAGTTGAAGCAATGGTGAAAGCTGTGGCTGAAAGTCGAGCTACGTCGTACCGTCTCAACAGAAAAATGGTTCCCGTTCCGTCAGTATTCGTTGTCAGTTGCAAATAAGGGCAGGAACCAGTCTTGCCACGGTTCCATCCACTCGTACCTATGTATAGTGTGAACGTTTGACGTGTTGCATATGAGTAAACCGGTACATGGGTAACATTGGGGGGAATCCCAAAAGGTGGTGTGAATGTTATTTCTTACTGACCTGTGTTCAATCTTACCCGGGGTAAGCCATCGGCTTACACAGGTAGATGACATGACAGTGTGAAAGCCCCATGGGGCTAGTTGTTGGTTTGTCTTCAGTGTTTGTTCATATTTCTAACAAAAAAAACCAAATAAACAATCGGGTGCTAATTTTAAATCTTTCTCACAAAGAGATTTTGTTTTTTACTTTTTGAGATATATTTAATTTTTTTTAATTTTTTATTATTCAGTACCTTTGTCTGCCCAACGGAGTTGATTGCTTTCAGTGACCGTGCCGACGAGTTCAAAGCCATCAACTGCGAGTTGCTGGCCTGTTCCTGTGATTCCCAATACAGCCATTTGGCCTGGTGAGTTCTTACTGAAATTTCCCCCGTGCCCTATGCAACCTTGTGTTGCACTCTTGATTTGAACAATTAACACAAACGTTAGCTAGGCCTCTGCAAACATGCCTAAAATGGCAGCACCCAGTGTCAGCGTGTGGAAAACCTTTTTAAAATTTCATTATAAAAAGATTAATTAAGAAGTGAAATCTACCATCTGATATGTGAACTTTATCAGGGTTCAATTTTAGCGATAGCCCGCTAGCCAAAAATGCTAGTCAAAACAGCGGCGGGCTAGTCAAACTATTCCTTAACCCTTACCCTACTAGACCCTCCAACGCATGCCAATATGTGCCTCAAGAAAATCTCCTATGTTTTTTGCATGGCCCTCCAATATCTGCCATGTCATTTCAAGGGTAACTGGACAGGCACTCCAATACATGCCACAGAGAACAATGAGAGTCCTCTGATAACAATCAAGTGCCCCCAGCTGGTCAGTATCAGGCACCCTCCAGGGCCTCCAACTCCTGCCAATTGGAGCCTTCACTGCTACATCAAAGTATCCTCCAATAAACTGCAGCTGGAGGGCATTGGCATAACCAACTGACATGCAGTAAACTACCCTCAGAGAGTAAGGGTTAAATAGCCCGGCTGGCGAGTCAAAAATTATTGGGCTACGGCAAAGATGAAAGGACAAGAAGAAATAAATCAGAAAATTCAGAAAAGCAAACATGTATCAATTTGTATCTAATTTGATTAACTGTTTGGTTAAAAAATTATGATCTGTTTGTCAAAAACACTGACGAGATTGTCCAGGATACACGTTTTACATGTGTGCACATTGTTGTTTATGAGACACTCTATAAAAGAAAAACAAGTGGGCTAGTGAAACTGCCCTCGGGCTAGTTAAGAGTCTGTTTCAGTAGCTGGTCTGGCCAGTGAAAAAAAGTTAAACAGTGGTATTTGTTTTCAATCGCCATACATCTATCACATTTTACTTGATTGAAAGAGGTTTTCGTTGTTGAAAAAATAACGGATTATACTCTCTGAATATGTACAGATGTATTTTGTTTAAAATCCTAACTCCCTAGGCCTTTTTGCTAGGATGCAGCTTCAATACTACAAAATCCTCCAATTGGCCTCATGGAAAAATAGCATATATCCTTCAAATTCCTCCATTATTTCTTGAATATGGAGGGGTGACCACTGCCTGAATCCTGCAAAATCATGCGGCAGTGACTGTCAATATGTTAAGGCTTGGCCAGTGACATCCTTGAGCAGTATGGAGGATTTCAAGCGTAATCCAGGCCTATAGGTATGCATGGCTGAGCAAAAACAACACAAGGTCCGGCCAAGACCTTGACCAAGTGCATCCTACCAAATCAGTAATGCACTTTTGCCATGCAACCTCAATCCTCCAAATTCCTCCACTGTGGCAAAGAGGATTTTGAAGGATTCAGGGCGATTAGGGTTTTAAAGCCGTGAATAGGGGACGCTTTGAGGGTTCAGTTTTTTGTCAGACACCCTGTAGCTACAATTTAGTACCTTGTATCCCGTCTCATTTTTAGGACGAACACGCCCCGTAAGAAGGGCGGCATTGGTTCGATGAACATGCCCATCCTGGCTGACAAGAGCTGCAAGATTGCCCGAGACTACGGTGTTCTCATAGAGGAAGATGGAGTCCCATTCCGGTAAGGAAAAACAAACTTTAATCTTAAAATTAATGTGGCCTGACGTTGCGAACTAAGCAAGTTCTTCTTCAGAGGCTAAAACAGAAATGACAGAGGTGCATACATTAACATGGGGGTGCACACAAACATGCAGGGCTGAAAGAAGAAACACAAAAGGAGGATTAGGTGGGAAAGGTGTGGAAAGATGCAGGGGAGGGTGGATGAGAGAACAAAGAAACAAAGGGAGATGGCAAACCACAAGGGGTCTTGTGTAAACAGGGGAGGGACCAGAAAGGGGAAGGATCAAAGGTCACAGGGAGTGGGAACGGACAAAAGAGTGTGAGAGTGAAGGAATGATGGGGGGGGGGGGAACAGTATTGAGGTGGAAAGGGATGAAAGATGGGGGAAGATGGGTAAACACAAACAAGGAAGACCAGATGGATTATCTGTAACAGAAGACAATGGAGGAAGAAAAGGATTAATCATTTCCAAGTTGGATGTTGAGACCATGTGGTTGAATAGTTCGAAGATGATTCATCCACACTTTCTCTCTGCTGAGGCGAACTGAGTCCTTGCGATGGCCAAGAGATTCAATGCCCTGCAAAATCATATCAGAAATGGAGTGGTTAGGCAGGTTGAAGTGATGACCAACAGGGGTGTCTAGTTTCTTGGTGTTGACCGTTGACCGGTGGGCATAAAAACGCTTCTTGAGCGTATTCTTAGTCTCACCTACATACTGCACTCCACAGACCCTGCAAGAAATGAGATATATGACATTAGAGGTGTTACAAGTGATGTTACCAATGGTTCTGTGGGTAGTGACAGAAGAGTGGCCAGAAAAGGAGTCAGACTCCTGGATATGAATCTGGCAGACAACACATCTGGAACTGCACTTGAAAGTACCATGCTGGGTGGGAGGGGATGCATCTAAGGATGGGACTTCAGCTCGAACAATCAAGTCCCGTAGATTTCGAGGACGCCTGTAAGCCAATGTGGGGCCGTTGGGGATGGCGCGGGCAAGGCGATCTGAAGTATGGAGGATATGATGATTGTCATTAGTGATTTTGCGAAGGGGAGGGAGATTGGGGTGAAACGTGGTAACCAAGGGAATTATGGGTTTGGCCATGGCATCAGGGGCCTTTCCCGTGAGAGCTAGATTTCTGGGGATAGCTTTAGCTCTGGCAATGGCACGGTGAACTTGGCGAGAGCTGTGACCCCTGGCCACCAAGTTGTTCCTCAGTATCTGTGTATGGCGGGAGAAATCGGAATCATTAGAACAAATTCCTCTGAGTCGGAGTGCCTGGCTAAACGCTATGCCAGTTTTGCAGTGCCTGGGGTGACAGCTGGAGGAGTGGAGGTACTGGTGGGTGTCTGTGGGTTTGGAATACAGGTCAGTGGTTAGTGAGTTGCCTTGCTTGCGGACGGTGACATCCAGAAAGTGGGTTTGGTGAGCCGAGAACTCCGATGTGAATTTGATGGTTCTGTGGAAGGAATTGATGTGGTTAGTGAAGGTCAAGAGACTGTCCTCATCACTGGTCCAGATGAAAAACAAACTTCATTTAAATACGAGCTTGGGAAATGTTTCCATTTTAGCAATTAATTTCAATTCCATGGATTCTATTCAGAACTCTTTAAAAAAAAAAATGAAAATGCTGCGAAGATTAACCCAACTTGGACCCCTATGGCTCTCGGGGTCAATTACAAAGAGCAACTTTTGAATTGGACGTGCTAGCAACAAAATCCACTTAAGAGACCAACAAGCTTGGGCCAACAAATGTGTTCACCTTTTTTTTTTTACCTTTGACCCCATACATGTAGCTGTAGATCAGATGAAGAGATTTCCATGGACATCATTTCATGTTTGACCAAAACCAACATGTTAACAGCGCTACTTTGTCATTTGAGCTTATTTGAAATTTTACATTATTTTGACCTTGACCCCATGATGACCTTTGACCCCAGTTCGGTCATGTGACATGTTGGGGCTGGGCTACTGATACTTTTGACAAAGTTTGGTTAAAATCGGACAAAATATGTAGGAGCAATAGACAATGTCAACATTTGTTTCTAACTCACTGATTTACCATACCTCATACATATTCATGATACAGAGCCGAACTCTCACTGGTCAATTCACCATCACGTGCCAGATGTTATTTTTGCTGTTTGCCAAGAGCGCGCGAGGATTCACGCACAGGTACAGTCTACTAGGCATGCGCTTTACAAAGCAATCGTTGAATTTTCGCACAGGTGTAGTAGGCACACGCAATCGCACACGAAGAGATGGTTGTACAATACTCAGCATTGTGTTGCTTCAAATGATATAGATGTACATGTACCGGTACATGCCCAATAAGCAAATGATGCTAGGTGCCAGACATTGCCATTTTGTTTTGTCTGTCAGTTGGATGACAGTCAGTGTTAGCCAGAGATGCCACTTTTCCGGTTTTAACCAGAATTCCGGTTTTTACAAAAAATCTCACAAAATTCCGGTTTTTCCGGCCATCAAATTAACCAGAAAAAGAGAAGAAAAACTGTGGAAATGCGTTGATTTTTACCTCATTTAGTACCTTTAGGCGCACGCATGGCACAATGTTGTTCGTTGAAGTACATGTAGTCTTAAAAACAGCCTTTGTGTATGTTGTTGCCGAGCCTGCATGCGATACAAGCGGCCAACGTACTTAATTGCACGCAGTATACAACGGCGCGTCGCGCGTGCTTCACCGCGTGCCGGCGTGTTGTGTGCTTAGCACACAAAGCATTCAGCCTGGATATCAAGTCTATCATTTCAGCTATCGGTGGTTTCCGATCGCAGTGATATATGTGAATACAAAAAATGCGGGTACCAACCATGTTTTCGTTGAGCGCATCGCGTAGTGCAAGGATCATGTACACCGACAGCAGTGTTGTGGAATCATGCATGTTTCGTGTCGAATGTTACGTTGGAAATTCGGTTAGGCAGAATAAATATTAGGAATATGGAAAAAGTCAAAGTGATTAAACGAACCGACAGTTTTAAAGGCCATAGAAGCAAAATTAAAAAATAAACAGAACTTGGCTTGGCTACAAGATAAAGATGCCGACAATGGGGACTTTGTGTCGGACACGGAGTGGCTTTTTCACACACAAAAAAGTCCGGTTTTTCAAGCAGCCGTTCCGTTTTTTTTCAAGCACACCCAGTTCCGTTTTTTTTAAGCGGACCCTGTGGCATCTCTGGTTAGCGACAGACGTCTAAGGATATATTTTCTTGTTTCTTCCAGTGGTCTTTTCATCATTGATGACAAGGGTAACCTACGGCAGATCACCATCAACGATCTCCCCGTCGGGCGCTCGGTGGACGAGACTCTGCGATTGGTCCAGGCGTTCCAATTCACTGACAAACATGGAGAGGGTAAATCAATTTCTGTACTTTTTCTGTCATGATTGGGAAAATCTGAATTGGCACATCCAGTGTCTTTCTCAAAGGCAAAATGACGGGTAAAGAAACATAGAAGATGGAGTCACGCAAGCATGCATGGGTGTACGTGTTTTACATAACCCCCGAGGACCGACACATAAAGGGAGAACCTGAGGCGAAGCCGAGGGAACTAGTTTGTCAACTTCCAATACCGAGGGGAGCTAATATCGACTGTCCACACGAAATAAACCATGTTCGCTTTTAGAGGGCGATTTCAAACATTCATCATTCTATTCCACTTTTAGTTTAATGCCATCGACACCAGATAAAATTAGTGGTTTCTTTTTCATTAATAGTCAATCAAATAAGCTTTACCTGAAATCAATTTAGAAAAGGTATACTTGCGTAAATGAATGCACAGGTAACATAATTGGCCGTCTGTTTCTCAAAACCGAATGCACCGACAGTGAAAACGATTGAGCGTTCGTTGAATTGAAATGGGAATAAAGACGGGCATTCAAATTCAGACAAAAATGAATGACCGATTTTAGAAGTGAATGAACATTTCATGAAATTGGCCAGGAAAACCTATATTACAGGGACAAAGGGAAACACAAAGCAATGTCCTCGGGAGTATAGTAAAACACGACCATGTGAACATATGTATAGTAAATGGGCAGAGACTGTCGGTGTATCAATAAAAAAAAAATCAGAAAAGGAAAACGATGTTTCTGTCCAGTTAGTTTTATGAGAGATGAGATATCGATCCAGAATTTTAATATATTTCCATTTTTTTTCTCCCAGTTTGTCCTGCAGGCTGGCGACCTGGCAAGGAGACCATCAAACCGGATGTCAAAAAGAGTCAAGACTATTTCAGCAAGCAATAAATAAAATTTAAAAACTAAAAAAAAAACTTTTAGATAGGATTGAACAAGCATACATACTCCTAAATTATGTATGTATAATTGGCAGTTTAAATGAGGCACTGTATTGTTGTAGTTTGGTTTTGAAAGATTGATGGAAAAAAAACGTTGCTTGTATGAAACTTAATGTTATGTGTGCACTTTCCTTGCAGGGAATTTAGTGTGGTTTTAACTTGTAATGACATGTGGTAGCAAAGAATAACTTGCATTGGCCTTTTTTCCACGGCGGTGTAAAACACACGGTGGGCTTGAGCTGCTTATGTTGGTTGGTTAGCGAGTGGTTGGTTGGTTGGTGGACACTTTACTCGGAGTGTATTATACTGTTCTATGCCATGCGTGTATCACAGCTTTGCCAGTGAGTTTCTATGGAATACCTACAGCCTTGTGACACTGATGCGCATGCGTCTGATTTGCATATTAGATCACGCCCCATTGCATTGCAAAATTCACGGTTGTACTGTTCATGGAACCGCCGTGGTTACAAACCACGGTCTATTTTTGAATAATATTGGTTTGTTATATAAACCAGGATGGATCTGTGATGATGCGTTTTAAATATCTATCACAGGAAGTGTTAACCGCTAGCAGTATTTCTAATTCTCAAATTTTTTTTAGTAGTTCACTTCCTGTGTAACGCCGGCCCCTTGTACTAACTGGACTGGTTGACAGTGAATCATCCGTCCGCCATGTTGGGTCACCCATGGCACATGTGCTGCAAACGTTCGTATTGGATTTGTCTGACCGGCTTTTGAGGTTTAAACAATACTTTTCCCAGGACTAGCCAACAACCAAAGAATAAATATTTATTATCAGGGGAATTGTTGTTTTTAGTTAAAAGAACAAAACCTCAGTTGCGGAACGTGACATTTTGGAGATCCAAGATGGCGGATCCAAGCCACATTGGCCAATAAGTGTGCAGCAGCTAGTCCATAGGTTAGTGCTGTGCAATCGTAGAACTAAAAAAACCATGAAATGCTTTGCGTATTCCAACCAGCCTGTGCACAATGCTTCTCTAATAATCTCTCGGGCAATAATGCACAGACCAACTCAGTACTATAGACTTACACCAAACAGTTCTTTAGAACACTGCAAAACCTAGAGCAGTGGGCCTTGCTAAGAGGGGCTCGAGGTCATTGTGCACCCCCCCCCCCCCCTCCCCCATTCATCTTATCTGTCATTTTGTCGGTAAAAGTGTCAGTGATGACCAAAAGACGCTGCAAGCCATATATAGAGAAAGTTACAACAAATGTCAATTTAGGCTTATCTTTGGTCCAGTATGGCTCGCATAGTGTACATATTTCGATGGGACTTTAATTTGCACAGTTTCCAGTCTGTGTAACTGTGTGTCGCCGTAGTTGAAAATACGTTAAAAGTTACCCGAGAATCTCAGGCAAGAGTACTTTCTCGTTACAACAGAGGGTTGCCAAAGTTGGTGTTAGAACTTTGGAATTACGGACAAAATTCAGAAGTACAGCATGCACTCAATGGAGCATTCATGTATGCCGCACCAGTAACGTGAAAATTCAACCGAAGTACGAAATCCTTTCCAAATCATTAAATATGCGATATTTGTGTGAAGTATATCCTTGATCCTTCATAAGCTGAGCAGGTAACGCTTTGCAACGCGCGCACGTTGTCAACGCAAATTAAAGGCGAGTGCGTAGAAAGAGGATCAGGAGTGATTCGGACCCAGTCTTTGGCTCTGAGATGCCACCATGAACAGTGCAAAGATGATGTCCTTAATGAAAAAAAACATGACATTAATGATCAAGAGGACTGCTGTGGCTGCGACGTTTGTATTCAGTTGAATTTGCAACACTTCTCGCGATGACTCCATGATGCACAGTGCAGCATTTGGTGCTATATTTTTATCTGCGTAATAAGCAGAACTCAAAAGTCTTTCTAAAACAGCAAGCTCCTAGTACTATGAACACATTTTGTCAAGTAAGCAAGTAACCATTGTGAAAGTACCCCACAATTGTTTTGTTGAATTTTTGGTTGCGCACTGTTGGTTGGTTGTTAGAAAATGTTTAAGATTTGTACTTCATAAATTGTGATGTTGTTACCAGTGTGTGAGTGCATGCAAATGTCAATCCTTGTAAGTTATGGAAAAGACACATTTGAAGCATTAACAAACAAATTTAAATCAAAATGTAAGATGATATTGATTTCTCAAGTAAATACTTTTTTTCCATAGTCACAGTACTGGGCTGATTACGCTGCATTTTCCTGAATGAAAAATGCAAAGGCAACATTTCTTCTGAAGCCTTAATTTGTCAAGCAGTCAGGAATTGTGATTATAAAAACAGTTGGATTCAGTTTGTAAGATTTTCTACCTAGTTTTATGTTGGCCCTAATATTCATGGACCCTTTTTATACTTGCATTTCTACAAGTTTTAAAGTGTTACTATATTTTTCAGTACTTCAATAGCAGCTGTTTTAAGCTTTTTCAAAAACTAATTCTCAAAAAAAAAGCAGAAAGACAAAATTGTTTTCAAAATGCGTTTCAGGAAAGAATCATGTTTTTTTTGTTTTTCAATCTGCAAGCTTGAAGCTATTAAACCTTGCTCCATTCAACATTGATGTGTTGTGGTAGTAGATGACGATAATGATTCATTAAATAGTCCTAACAGTCCTGAATCCTCCAATTTCAATATAATTTTGCACACCTTAAAGGAATAAACATGTGCTTGGCCAGTTCAAACAAGTACTATGGGCAGTAGCGTATCCAGCTTTTGATGTCAGGGGGGCAACCATCAATTTTACCTCGTGTTTTGTGAAACACCCCTCTGGCCATGTCTATGGTATGTGCCTCATGCGTGTACTGCTAAAAATCTCCTTTTAAGGAGATTGGCGCGGGCACGGCGCGTACTGCGGGATGTGGCGCAGAATGCAGCGGTGCAGGAATAAAGTGTTTAAAACCAGCCGCTGTTTTATCAGTGGTTTAAAACCACCCATGTGACGGCTCTCCACCAATAGGAATGGGTAAACTGTCTTGGGTATTTATGAATAATCAATTAAAGCCATTTATTACATGATGAAGGGATTCCATCTGTAGATTTGTACTTAGTTGAAGTGACTAAATATGTAATTGATATTGTCCAGGTGGTTTGACGCATCATTTATCAGTGAATTTGATTTTGTTTCTTAAAGCCATGTGGGAACATTTGCAATGATCTGAAAAGATTTTAAAACAGACATCTTAGTCAAAGGGAAGACGGGCCTAGTATCAAATACCCTGTCAAATTATTCTGCCAAAAATGGTACCGTTTGGAAGAAAACTAACATTAAAGGTGGTTTCAAAATGGGTACCCGTCGGAAACCTTTTTTTTGTGTGCGTTAGCAACAGAATCCAGTTAAGAGACCCCAAAATGTGCACGTTTTAATATTTTCTCAATTCGTATAGTATCCACTCAGCTGAAACTTCAACAGTTCAGTTGTGATGCCCGGTTCATACTCTGCGCGAAAGCGAACGCGAATTTGTGATGTAATGGCAAGTATTCACGCTGCGAATTCGTAAAAGTTGAACATATTTCAACTCGGCGAATTTCGCAGCGAATGTTTCATGAAGTCAAATTCGCATTTGCTTGGAGTATGAACCGGGCTTTACGCACCCTACTTAAGATTCTGAACAATTTTGTTGCTTCAAACGAAGAAAAAAAAAGCACAGAACACAAATAAATAAGCCCAGGTTAAGTGTGCTCCTGAACAACCAAAATTGTGAGTGGTGTTGATTGTAATGACCATAAAGAGTATTTTTCCAAATGACAAATTTTATTGCTGGTAGATGCCAAGGTTGGTCAAGTGCGTGAAGTCTTTAATTGAATCCATCCAATTTTAGTAAATGAACCATGAAGAGTGCATTATTGTTAAGCGGGTAGTGGAATATAACAATGCCGCTATCTAGTTTTACCATAATAAAGTATAGGAGCCTTCCATTTTCATGGCCAATATGTGTGTTAGGTGTATTTGTTTGTTAATCACAATATAGGGTTTTTCATAATTGTTACCATGGATAGTGTGTGTCGGAAAACATGGGTCAGATTGCCAATAAAATGAGATTTGGTACTGGCCACAACTTGCCTGCATGGTGTGCGTTTGTGTTTAATAATAATAATACCGGAGTCCTATATTGAGCACGTGTCTACCAAATTAGGTACTCAAGGCGCTGGAAATTGTCTATTATTAGAGACAGGTGAATGAAGTTTATGAGAAATATGAGACCCATTATGTAGCACCTTATAAGGGTTTACAAGGTGCTGCGGCGCATATTGCAGCCACTGCTAGAAACACCAGGGCAAACCCCTTCTCTTAGCGATAAGTGTTACTGGGTTCTTTAACGTGCATTACACAACACACGGGACCTACGGCTTTACGTCCCATCCGAACGACGAAGCAATAATGGTAAAGTGCCTTGCTCAAGAGCAAAAGCACCATGTTCTCATGGTCAGGATTCGAACCCATGAACCACGGCATACGAGTCGAACGCCGTAACCATTGGACCACAGCACCCCATCGCCCAAGTTTACATCAGTCATCATCATGGTCATTTTATACTGGGTGTATTAAAAAAGGTAATCCAAAATTCTAAAATGTGTTGAAATAATGATTACTGTTAGTGGGGTTGCATCTAAAGGGTGCTTCGTTTTTTCATTGATACTAATGTGCGTACTCGTAGTGCTTTATAATTAAGGTCCCAAACCGCTTCACAATACCCCTGCCTCATCGGGCCATGACCCCATTTCTTTCTGCAGCAGCTCGAGATCAGTGCATTCTGATCTCTACCTTCACAGGTACCCATTTATACTCCTGGGCTGAGAGGCAATTGTAGTAAAGTGTCTTGCCCAAGAACACAAGCATCATGTTCTCAATCAGGGTTTGAACTTTCATACTATGGCACACGAGTCAAACACTGTAATCGTTGGACCACAGCACTCCACACCTTACTTGCAGTTGCAGCCTATCAGTCATGGATAACTGAGCACCATTGAATTACAATGATCAAATGCTTGTACAGACCTGTGCCATGCTTGTTCATATGCTGCACCCCATAAACCAAATTATGTTATGTTCATTTTGTGTGTGTGTGAGTGATGGTGAAAATGTTCTGCATTTGTCCAAGTCTGAGGAAATTAACGGTCTTGTTTGCGTGAAAAACTGAAAATGACAAAAATTTAAACAAAATCCCCAATACAAATCATCAAAACACTTCTGCCAAATAAAATTACTTTATTTTCTGTCAAAACGAATATGCTTAGATTTCAAACAACACTACTGGACTTATTCAAAAATATATATTGCAGTTGTTTCTTTAATTTGTACGTTTTAAACTTTGTTCAGTAAAGAGGGAGTCCATTTTGTGTTGATCTGTAATCTTCAAATTTACAATAACCCAAATGCTTATTTACAAGGATAGCACTGGAGTCTATACTGCAATAAACCCATCACAATATTTGCAACTTTTTACAATTTAAATTGTAAAAAGGCAAAGGAAAAGTTGTTTGTTCTAACTCAACCCTGATACCCAAAATAGTTGCTATGCTATGGGCTCCGTGCACAAGTACCCCCTCAACGGTAAGAAAGGGAAAGTTGGGGGAGACCACTGGGAGAGACATTCGAATGCATTGCTGACAATGCCTGACGCTCGCGCGAAGACGCTATATTGTTTTGTGTAATAGAAAATGACAAGTCGTGCACACGCAGTGTGTCCTGTTTGGTGGGGGCTCTCGGAAGTGGTGAATAAGCGCCCTCTATTGTCCGCACAATACGTATGTGTATGTGCACCATGCTTTTTAAACATGTAGTCTTGGTTTTGGATTTGATTTGGGTTACGGTTAGGGAACATCAGTTGTTCCCCTGATGCAGACTTGTACGACTCGTGACTCGAACTCGAGTCTGACTTGAGTCTCATTTTCCGTGACTCGGACTCAGGCTCGAGTCACGATGACAAATGATTCGGACTCGGACTCGACCCTGCGGACTCGGACTTGGACTCGAACTGTGTGACTCCGGACTCCACCAAATATACCACCAATCACTTCTTTTTTCTTCAACAATGTAATTACAAATTATTTTGAAGATGGTCCTCTCCTGAGCAAGCGATAGAGTCTGCGCAGTGCAGAGGGAACGCATCTAAATACTGCACATACACAACGTGTGTGGCTGGCTTGTTTCCAATATATTGATGTGGGAAATCAATCTATCAAAACATGTACCCCAGCGTCCATTCTTGATATTGCATTATGCAAGCTTGATGTGTTCGGTACCAGATTATTTTTTTCAGACACTGGTGCCTTGCCTTATTTGATGGTTTGCACCTTTTATTTTGAAACCCATGGTGCCCTGTCACCAACAACTGCAGGATTACAAGTAAAATATAATCCACACTAATTACCGATTTCGTCACCGTTTCCACGCAGAGCCACATATGTCCAAAATTACCATTTCTTTTAATTTCATTTTGTTTACCCACTAATTTGCTTTAAAACATTGTACTTGACCATTTTGACATGTTTCTGTAAGCAAAACATCATTAATTTCCAAATTACTTTAATAATGCGAAGGGCAGAAATCTCAAAAATTGTATTTTGTGTTTTCACAAAGAGCCACATACATTTTTGCCCCTTGAACGCGTACAAAACCTATTGCACGGAAAGGCATAAAAGTAGGTCAAGTGAAATTTTCGTTTTCACGAAGAGCCACATATCTTTACTAATTAACTGTCACTAATTAACTGCTGTATTCATTCTAATTACTGGTTCACGTAAAATTCAGCTCTCATAGAATCATGTGAAAGTGTTCTTATTGCAAAGTTGCAATGTTGTAGAATTTTTTGCAGGTTTAAAATAGGAGAAACCTCTTTTGGGATTAGCTCTATACAACGCTTTTTCTTCAAAATCCACATATGTGGCTCTTTGTGAAAACAGTGACGATTTGACCAAGGCTACCACATGGACAGAGTTAAAGTTCATAATGTTGACATGCCCCAAAGGCACAGACACTGACGGTGTGTGGTTTTTGCACTTTCAACATGTCTGATACACTCAAAAAAACGAACCCAAATTCAAAGGTTGTACAAGGGGAAAGAGCACAACATTGGAATGTGAATTATTATGCATGTAAACATGTGCAAGTTAAAAAACAAAATGCTCAGTATGTTTGAACTCACAACTGGCATTGTACATTGTTCAGTAGACTAAAACAAATTAAACAAAAGTTGTATTGAGCAACCTAGGTATTAAAAACATCTATATAAAATTAAAAAGTTTCTGTAACTGCAACTGAGAATTTAATAGTTGTTCTTGGAAAGGAAAACCTTGTTCTAGAAACTTGTTCTCGGAAGGCTGATGGAAGACAAAATATGCAGTTCATAAAGTAGGAAAAGAATTACAGAAAGTCTACACACAAGTCGTTGTCATATTTTACTCCTTTCTCCGAGTCCCCAGTTTACCCCCCCCCCCCAAATAAAGGATATTTAGTTGGAATCAAGTAAAGGCAACAAGGCTGAGTTAACCAAGTGCTTGAAAGAGTAGGAAACATGAATTTTTGGGCACACACAGCCACAGATACATGCACGAAATGTTCAATTTCTATTAACTGCAGGATTATTTTTGCTTTAATAAAATTTCGATTTTCACAAAGGCAAAATTTTCCAGCCAACTTCTGATATACAGCCAAACCCCACAAATACTGATTCGCAAGAGTCATTTCAACAGTATTTGTAAGATATTTCTTGCCGAAACCTCATATGTTTCAATACTCCGGGGTGTGCACTGGAGCGTAAATTGTACAATAGGCCATGCACAACGGCCAATTCAAGATCAACACACAGTCTGCCTCCACAGACTTTGTGTGTGTGTACAAAAGGCACAAAGGATTAGCGTGTTTCGACGTCACCCAGAGGCGAGTCGAGGCAATCTTGACGTCTTAACCCGTCAGCCGTGCCTGTGTATAAAAACAGCCAGTGCGTGTCATCACGTCCTCCGATGCAAACTGGTTAGAAGGTCTCTAACTCGAGTCCTAGTTCTTTTACAAATACTGGACCATTTTTTTTTCGGTACAAACCATTCAGCCCCAAAACTCTTGATTTTTACTTTTTCCCCCCAAAAAACCTACGTGCTTATTTTCACACTAAATTCATACATTCATTTCAGTAAACATCTTCAGACTCAAAAAGGAATAAACATATTACCGGTCAGTGTTTCTCGTACATCATGCCAAACCAAGTTTGCATGAAACACCATAAACAACATACATGTCAATACATTGCATTCAGCACCAATCCTCCAAAACGCCTGCCATCTCAAACGGATTTCAGGAAAATGACCCACGCAGTTTAAATTGTAGCAAGCAGGAACAATATCTTATCACTAATGGTAACAGCATAACTACTCGATCAGGAAAGTCAACGCAAACTAAAGCAAACAAAAGCTGATCTAAACTTTGCAAGCTAAATTTCACTCTTTATACAGAAATACTTTCATTAAAAAAAGGTATTGCAACAAAAAAAGCCATAAAATAAATATTTCAACGCTAAAGTCACACACAACACACGAAACCTTTGGTTCATTTATATCAAAGCTAAAAGCCAATTCACTATGTACATTAGCATGACGCATTTACATCTCTAGAATTTGTCACATTTTCTCAGAAGCACAGTTTCACAACAAAAGCCGTTACAACTTCTGGAGAACTCACATCAACTGCAGAGATAGGTTCACAATATGCTCTTGCCCCAGGGGCAAAGCAAGGTCGTGTTGGGGGGGGGGGGGCTAAAATTTCTTGAAAAGGGCACTTGCACATCCCTGCTGAAATGTAAACACGTTTTTTTTCTCCGGACACTTGGCCTCCGTAAAATAAAATAGTGTTGAGGTGGGGTGGGGGAGGGGGCTGGTACCCTCTGACGATGGGGGCGCTGTTCAAAACCGACAGTTATGCACACTATTAGACAATATGGCTCTTTTCAGGGCGATACATGCACCAAATTACCACAAAAGGCATTCGCAAAGGCCGCTGGCACAAAAGGGGCACAACTTTTTTTTTTAAAGGGCACTCGTTTAGAAAAAAGGGACACTTGTTATAAAAAGAAGGGCACTCTTTACAAATATGGGGGGGGTAAGCTAAGCGCTGGTGACAAAAAGGACATTTGAATGGTAAAGGGCAGTCTTTACAAAATATTGGGGGTAACCCCCCCCCACCCCCCCCCCCCCCCCCCCCCCCCTCCCCAATGGCTATGCCTATGCTCCCTTGAAGTGCCAACATAAAAACTATTACGTTTAACCCTAAAGCTGCCCTCGGGTCGACCTTGTAACTGACTGTCAAAACTGTAAATCCCTGCTTGTGAAAAAATGAAGAAAGTACTAGAGAAGCAACTGCTGTTCCGTTTCTCAGATTTTCTCCAAAATACCAACAAATCAGCAGTCCTTATGTCTTTCCTTGATGCCTCTGGGCCTGAAATGCATCCAGATCCTGTTGCGTTGCCTGCTGGGTTTCAACCAGGTCTGACTTGATCTTGGTTCGGAGTGCGCTCAGTTCGTCTGCTGCGGACTCGCTGGACTGAGCACTCCTAGGCCTTAGATCTCTTTCATCTGTATCTACGTCGCCTCTCTCTGAATCGACATCGGTTGGGTCCCTGGGTGTGGACTCAGGGGTGCAGTTTGGGACGGAGGGGGGCCGCAGCTCCTCGGCAAATGTCACAGTCCGGTTGGGCTTCTTAGCTGAAGCTGCCTTCCGTTGTTGTTCCTTATTCTCATTATTGGTTTGCGCCAACTCTAAACCGTCCACCTTATTGATGATGTACCCCAATTCCTCTTGCCTCTCCCGAGACGTTGGCAAGCGTTGGGATGAGGCACTGGAGGCGGAGCTTCGGGAAGCCACGCCTACTTGTTCACCAGAGATCTCATTAGATGGCAAGAGATCTCCCTGATGTGGTGCAGCCTCTCCTACCCCCTCTGGCAAGAGATCAGCTGCTACCGCTGCTGCCACATCAGAGCTGAGGCTCCCTCGGAATGACGAGTAGGATGCCAGGGGGTCCATATCTGACACGGAATTGAGGTCAGACAAACTCATGTTCATGTCCGCTGTGGGAATGTTGATAATGTTGGCGGAATCCAGGGACACCCGTGAGAGTGCTGCCGAGACTGCCCGCTTGGCCTCCGGGCTGCAGCTGCACGGCAGTTCCGTCAAATTATCTGGTAGGTGGTTGCCGATCCGATCGCCTTCTACGTTCATACTGTCCATGCTGTCAAAGCTGGCGATGGATGGGTTCCTGCCGAGGCTTTCCGAGTCCTCCTTATAGTCTGCAAATGCATTCCTCTCTTCGACTCGGCTGATAGCTGCCATGTTGTCCATCTGGGACTGGGTCCGCTCAGATCCAGGCAATATCGGCTGGGAGATTTTGATGTACTCGTGCTCACCCTCCTGCACCCCGGGGTTGATGCTCGATACCCCGGTCCTCGGGAGCTGTCCTGGTTTGACCAAGTTGGGATGCGGGCTGTTCAGATTTCTGGGGGTCGGAGTCTGACTGAAGGAGTACCTCCCCTTGCTGTTGCTGGACTGTGCCCGCTGGGAGGTCTGGGATCCAGTGCGCGGTCTGCTGCTGACAATACTCGGAGAGCTAGGCACCGGGCTTGTCAGCGGCATGGTGCGGGGTTTTGGGGTCATGCTACGGGCAACCAGTCCGGCATCACTGGTACCAGCTGAGTGGCGGGGACTGACGTGAGGTGTGGAGTGCTTCATCCCTGAGCTTGGCGCAGTTCTGGGTTCGCTCACTGAGCCCTCGCCGAAGGGCGACAGCAAGACCCTCTCTGGGCTCCTCTGGGAGTCCTCTGTGTGGCGCAGCAGAGATGGTGCCTCTTCATCAGCAGGCTGCTCAACCTCCAAACTCCTCTGCAGGATCTCTTCGTAGTCCAGAGAGCAGAGAGATTCCCGATCCTCATCTATCTGGTCGACGGTGATGACGGTGATGCGGTTACTCAGACTGTCTGTGCCATCCAGGTTGCGCTTGCCCTTGGTGCGATGGCTCAGGCGGTAAGTCTCCAGCTTGGGACCTCTTTTGGGGCGTGCATCGTCTTTGATGAGCTTCTCGAAGACTACTGGATGCCTCTCAGACAGATCCTAAGAAAAATAACAAGAAGCAAAGTTTAAAATTGCATTCCCCATGCTGTTTTCGAATTTCATCCAGAAAAGTACATTCCTTTTCAAGCAATACAAAAGATAAAAGATATTCACTTTTGAATGAGAAATTGACCGGAAAAAAAAAAACAGCCCATGTTTAGTTATTGAATTATTACTTTACAATTTTGAATTATTGGCTGCCGGACAATGATTCCGTTCTCGCAGGGTAGGCTGGTTCCTGCCTCACAATCAGTATCAATAATGAACGGACCAGGAGCCAGTCTGCTCACAAAGCGTATCCGTTTGTGCCTAAAATGAAAACCTTTTGTTTCAAAGCATCTTGGGTGAGGCTAACTTGATCAGTCTATTGCTTAGTGGTTAGATGTACAGTGGAACGTCGCTATACCGAACACCGCTATACAAATCATTCGGCTATACCAAACATCATCCTTGGCTCTTGATTTTTGTGTACAAAACACACCGAGCATTGTAGTTCGAAAAAGTCAACGCAAAAATCCTAAATCTACGGCGTAAAACAAACACTATTTGGGCCATTTTTAATTCCGGACCGTCAAACGGCCAGTGCTTATATCAGGTTTTATGTTGAAGAGTGACAGGTGGCTATTATTTCCCCAAAGAATAGAAGGGAAAGTCACCAGTATGTATGTTTAATTTCAATTATGGACAAGTTTCGCGACTCAGCATGCAGGGTGAAAAAGGCAACCACACTATAACAATGGTCAAAAGAGGGTGCCGCTGATGTGTGGAAAACCCAAGCCATCAAGCCTCAAGCTACCAGAGCACGGGCGGCTTATATGCGCTACACCGAACGATCTCTATTACCAACAGTTTCTGTTGATCCCGCGATGTTCATCATAGCGACGTTTCACTGTACCGACAATCCTTTCCAGTATCTGCAGGACTGTACAGTTTTTACATGGTTGGTTCTTGGTTGGTTCTTCTCCTAAATACTCCCTGTGGGAGTTTATACAGGAGGCCAGAAACACCGGGGCAAACCCCTTCTCTTAGTGATAAGTGTCACTGGGTTCTTTGACGTGCATTGGATTTACGTCCCATCCGAAGGACGAAGCAATAATGGTTAAGTGCCTTGCTTAAGGGCACAAGTGTCCACCCAGCGGGCTCGAACCCACGCCACTGTTGCCTCTGAAACACCAGAGCATGAGTCCGGTGTTCTTAACCGCTAGGCCATGACACTCCACAATGATTTCCGCCTCTTACCCGTTTCGCAGCTGGTGATTGTTTATCCCTGGCTTCCAACACTTTGACGTCAGGTTTCTGTAGCTGGTCGTCCCAACACAAGGGAACAATCGGTGATGCAATCTTCTTCTTTTCTTTAAAGTTGTGACTGCTCAGTTTAAAGAGATCGGAGTCGTTGCTGGTGAAGGAGTCATCTGAGGCAACCGATTCCGCCCTAAACAATGAAAACAAATTTTTTTTTTTTTTTTTAGAAAATTCTAAAATAGAGCTAGGTTACCTGCATCATGGAACAAGCTTAAAGCTATAGTCCATCATTTGCAGCCATCCGAAAAGTAACTGGCGTAATTACTGTTGAAAAACAAACTTGGTTGAAAGATAGTAAGGGGACTAAACTCCCTGTGAAATTATTCTTTCTGGGAAGCTGTCATTTTGAAGTAGTCAACGAAAGAAGGCATTTCCAACGGTGATTCTTAAGAAGCACCGTAGGAAAATTTAAATTAGTAGTTCGTTTTGTTATTCAGCGCAGCGCGCACAAGTATTGGAACGACGCACACGCGCGCGCGGTTGTTATAATTCGTCGGATCAGTGCGCGACGCCGCGTATAGCTGCAATTCAAAACAATTCAAAACATGATTCAGTAACTTTTGATTTGAAATTGAGATCTTAGAATGCTGCTTTTCTCGGAATGTACAGCTGAAGCTTAGCTGAAACTTCATCAGGTTAGTTGCTCAGTATCCTTCATTAGATTTTGAACACTTTTGTTGCTTCAAACAAACAAAATGCACTAATTACAAATGATGGACTATAGCTTTAAATACTACGCAAGTTCAATCAAAATTAGTCCAAAATTAATAATAATTTTTGAAAATTCTAAAACAGAGCTGTGTTAACCGCATCATAGAACAAGCTTAAATACTACGCAAGTTCAATCAAAATTAGTCCAAATTAGTCGAACTGGGGATATCTAAGGTTAACTCTTTTTGCTGGGTCAACTTTTTTTTCTCCCAAGTGAACTAACTTAGGGAAACTGATTAGGGGCATAAATAATAATTATAGGGTTTAACAAAGAAATCGATCAAGATTTAATTTGATATATGTGACCCTACTGAGGCTAAATGAGGAATGTCTCCCAAAAACCTTCTTTTGAATAATCAGAGCGTGAAGCTGCCTTTAAGTGAAAAATCATTTCAAAATTGATTTTGGCTTTTTCGAATTTTTGAGTAACCAAGATGTCTAAGATTTACACTTTGCATTTTGGTTGTGAAAAAATAACCTCAAAATGAAAAAAAGGACAATTTCTGAAGTGTGTTTGTGTGAAGTTATTAAAAAATCATCAGAAATTTTCCTCTGAACAACAAAAAATTAGCCAAGTTCACCAGGAAATTTCAAGAGAATTGATTATTTTGTGTACCTTTGTGTGTTACCATGTTTCAAAAGCGTATTGCCTGCTCTGTATATTTCTACCAGCGATATCACTCTGTACTGGCCTAGCAATGCATGATCAGCTGTGGAAGACAAACCGCGATGCTGCGCGGTGGATGAGTGTCTAGTTCGTGTGACTCGAGTACGTAATGAAAATAACACCATCTGATTGGACCACATTGTATGAATAGGCAATAGAGCATGCGCTGTAAGTGTTGTTTACTTAGATACGTGACATATTGCAGTACTGATCCAATCTGTAAGCGCGTGCCTAGAGCGCGCGCTCAGAATTGTTTACAATGTAACAAAACTGTCCCACATGTGTATGTCCGTTCACGTCGCACATAAAGCTTGCAAAGCACAACATACAACGCACAACTTTTTTCAAAACTCTTTTTCTCGAAATTAGGTCACGGAAGTTCGACGACGCACTACCAACTTTCCCGCAGCATATCTTTGGAATTAATTGAGCTACAGAAATAAAGTTGGTGTCATTACAAAGATACGAGTTGCTTTTTTACATGGTATATAAAACTCAAAAAGTCAAGGATGGGAGTTATTCCTCATTATGCCATAGCAGGTCACAAATGTCTGGAACACTTTTGAGAGGTACGTGTTTTTTTCCTAATTTTTTTGGAGTGAGGCTTTTTGTCATTAGCAGTTTATTTTTTCTGGTCTGTACCGCAAGTACCCACCTCTCAACCTCTCTCCTCCATTTGCGCACCCTCAGACTGTCTGACTGGACTGCGCCGTTCACCCCGATACGTATTTTGTTCCCGATGCGCAGTTGGTTGGCCACGTCAGCCCCTACCTTCCCTTCAATGTTGTAATACTCCAAGTTGGTTTCACCTTTTGGAAAAACAGGCAAAACAAAAACCGGAATATACATGTATGAAATAAGGGAATGTGGCCTGTACAGGGTGACTCAAAAAAAAGAAAAGAGAAACCCAAATGGCGTCCCTATTTTGTAAAGAAGTTACAAAACAAGTTACAAGCAGCAATTACCAGATCTAGGATGTGAAATTCCAATTAATAAGCTTTCTTTTAGTACCAGAATCATTCAAATCACTGCTGTACTTTTCAAGTTATGGACTTCTGAACACAAGCATACTTTTAAAATTGTTAGATATTCAGTGAAGGGAAACCATGTCGTATCATGAAAACGATATCAGAATAATTCCATACGTCTCCGGGGTAGCCAAGTAGAAGGCAGGGCACGACTATAAACTCATGACATTATACAGCATGTTGTTTTAACACTGGAAGCAGAAGGTGTTTAAATATAGGTTATGATCAGCAGAGCTCGACCTTAACTTTTTCTTTCACTAGCCAGCCGGGCTACTGAAACAGACTCTTAACTAGCCCGTGGGCATTTTCACTAGCCCACTTCTTTATTTTGTTTAGCTCAAATACAAAATGGCGTATTTTCAGGCTCAATTCTGAGGCAGTGTTTTAATAAACAGATCTAATAATAATTTAACCTTTTAAAACAGTTGGTAAAATTAGACACAAATTGATGCGATTTTCTTTCTGAATTTAATGATTTATTTCTTCCTGTCCGTTCACAACTTATTGCCGTATCCTGTATCCCAATAAGTTTTGACTCGCCAGCTGGGCTACTTAAGGAATAGTTTGACTAGCCTGCCGCTGTTTTGACTAGCATTTGGCTAGCGGGCTATCGCTAATTTCGAACCCTGTGATAAGTGCCGGTTACCATGGTTATTAGAATGTTCTGGTGGTTTTCGTTTTGCTGAAATATCACCTTTATTGTGATCTGTGGACAAAATTATAAAAGTGTTTTTCTGTATATGCAAAATCAAGCCAGTAACTCGAGGTTAAACCCCCGGTACCTCGTAAACTTCTCAAAACCAAGAGACAAAACCTTGAGTTTAATCGCCTGTTTAATTTTGCATTCTCCCCTTCAAGCAAATATTACACTGGTCATTTCTCAAAACCTTTTGCAAAATCCAACCCAATTAACTTAATTAAATCATGGGCAGTTTTACAGTTTTGTGGATACAGATTACGTCTTTAGACCTACCAGTGAATGCTTCCACCACCCCACCAGAGCCAAGCCCGCTCCCGTCCTCGGCCTCCTCCAGTCCACCGTCCATTCCCCCGGCCGCAAAGCTCAACCACTGGCCGGCGAAGGCGTCGTAGCGCCGGGGACTCTGGCTCTTCTCTTTCCGGTGGTCCTGCCGTTCCTTCTTGTCCTCCTCCTCCCACTGGAGTCGGATCTCCTCCGTGATGCGCTTGAACTGCATGTTGCTGCTGCTTGCGCTGCCGTTGCGCTTCATGCGGACCCACATGAAGCCTGAGGCCGTGGGTGGCTTACGGGAGGGCTTGCGGACAGCTCCTGGGGTTACCAAAGGATTGTAAAAGTTCATGTTTAATTGGGTTAACGGGAAGCAGAATTTTCACAAACATTTATCCATTACACACTGCTGCCTGCCGAAGTTGGTGCGCAGTTGCAAAGGAACTGAGCCTTGACATCAAATACAATAAACTGCGATGTTGATGGTTGACACGATGGATTCATGTAATTGTCGGCAATTTAAAAATACAGGGTGAGTAAAAAAAACGAAACCCAAATGTCGGGACCATTGTTTTAATAAAGTTCTGCATGTAGCATTTTCAAAATCCAGGATATGAAAGCCCAATCCATAAGCTTTCTTTTAGTATAAGAATCATTGAAATCACTCATGTACTTTTCAAGTTACGGAGTTTTAAACACAACCGCCATTTTAAGGTTCTGTCCATGGAACACAAGAAGTTCAGTGTTCTTTCAGCAAAACGAAAACAAATCACATAAGGATGTGTGTGAATTGTTTTTGTTTTTCTGAAAGAAGGCACACCTTTTTTGTGATCCATGGACAGAACTTTAAAACGGTGGTTGTGTTTAAAACTCCGTAACTTAAAAAGTACATGAGAGATTTGAATGATTCTTGTACTAAAAGAAAGCTTATGAATTGGGCTTTCATATTCTAGATTTTGAAAGTGCTACATGCAGAACTTCACTAAAACAATGGTCCCGACATTTGGTTTTCGCTTTTTTTACTCACCCCGTATATACATAAAACTACGCATTCTGCTTATGGTCTATTCATTTTAGCCAAAAAAATGTGTATTCACTTACGAGAACAATGCTAACGTTTGCCGACGTTGGTAATGTTTGTGCTAGCGGGACCAATCATGCGCTACCAAAGTTGGCAACCGTTAGCAACAAAGGTGAACGGTCTTCACAGGTTGTTTGCCATGTTTTCCATAATGGCCAACACACATAATGAGCTCAATGATCCTTTCAGTGCATAACTTTTTTCTATTTTCTACATCTGCAGTAAGTTCATACCTTACTGTCAACATTTTACTTCCAGTCACTATTAATTTTTCGAGGATTTAAAAAGTTGCTGTCATGGGCAAGTTCGATCAAGGACCAGAGTTAACCATAATTCGACTTGTCAATGATGGTTGGACTAGTATAGGACCAGCCAACTGCGGCTGGTCGTGCAACGTTTTATAGTTGGTCATCAATAGCAATATTCATAGCATAGTGCAGAGGGGACCAACTATCACCAGAATGGCGGAAAACGAAACTGTGAGCACTAAATTTTGTTTTCATTGCATAGTTTTTCCATACGAGTCTGTCACTTTTGCCTCCATTGTACAATAATACTGGCGATAATGTAAGGTGTCCTAAACTACACAATCACTATTATTTGTGTAAATAAATAGAAACATCAAGTGTTGAAAAATTGTGCGACCGTCATTTTCTCACGACTGTTGACATGACAATAGTTCGACTAGAGTTGTTCACACTTCAACTTCAGTGCGCATGTGCTAGGTATGTCACGAACTAACCACTTAAGTTAACCTTTGGTCCTTGATCGAACTTGCCCCATGCTTGTTAGATGACATAATCGTCCCATTTGGCAATAACACGCCTGCAGGGCATAGCTAACGAATGCAAACCCGTTCGCGTGAGTGGAACGCAGCGTAGGTGACAGCATACCTGTACTGAACGGTCTCAGAGTGAGCGGACTCATCTGCAGTTCCTTGGAACCATCCGGTATGGAGACCGACGCTGACGTGTGAGGGCGCTGTTGCTGTTCAACATCCACTATGAAACACAATAAAATCACTTTGTTAAAACTAAAGAGCAATGGTAGGGATGAGGAAAATATGGGCATGCTACTAGAACCACTGAGTCAAAACTCTAATTTTCTTCTTTCATGTCATTGCTGCTGTGTCTTGTAATCACGTCTTGTAACGAGTTTAGTCCTCACAAGTCTATCACAAGTCCTCACAAGTCTATCACAAGTCCTCACAAGTCTTCACATGCCCTTACAAGTCATCATAAGTCATAACAAGTCATAACAAGTCATAACAAGTCCATCACAAGTCCTCACAGGTCTATCACATGTCCTCGCAAGTCATAACAAGTCCTCACAAGTCCTCACAAGTCCCCACAAGTCTATCACAAGTCCTCACAAGTCCTCACAAGTCTATCACAAGTCCTTACAAGTCCATCACAAGTCCTCACAAGTCCCCACAAGTCTATCACAAGTCCTCACAAGACCGCACAAGTTTATCACAAATCCTCACAAGTCCATCACAAGTCCTCACAGGTCTATCACAAGTCCTCACAAGTCTATCACACGTCCTCACAAGTCCATCACAAGTCCCCACAAGTCTATCACAAGTCCTCACAAGTCTATCACAAGTCCTCACAAGTCCATCACAAGTCTATTACAAGTCCCCACAAGTCTATCACAAGTCCTCACAAGTCCATCACAAGTCTATTACAAGTCCTCACAAGTCTATCTCAAGTCCTCACAAGTCTATCACAAATCCTCCAGTCCCACGTCAAGTCACTAGCTATGACACAGGCATTCCGTTGTTATTATTTATCTCCTTTTACTTGTGACTGGAGCTTGTGAAAGAAATTGTGATTTACTTTTGGCCAGACTTGTTATGGACTTGTGACGGACTCCACTAAAACACTAGTTGTTATGCACAGAAGGGATACGGCATGTTAATCGTTTGAAAATTCCTCTACTGTTACTTTTTGCACTTGGAAAAACAAAAGAATGTTAGCACCAACCTGGTGTCTGCACTCTCTCCTCCATTGACGTTGAAGGCCGGCTCCACCCATTCAATGTTTCCTTCCTGAGTAAACAAAAAAGTTTTTCATAAATATTTTTAATGAATTTTAATAAATGCAATACGCAAGGATATTAATAATTACCTGGGAAACGGACCAACAGAGTTAATGAGAAAAACCTGGTTTCAAAACAGTGTGGTGGGAGAAATCAGAGATTTCAAAATCCAGTTATCCTAATATTTTTTTAAACCAAATAATGGTTATCTGAAGTTCCCATTCAGCTCACAGTCATGCCAACAAAAAAGTGACGAGTGAGGTGCCACATGAAATGCCCTCCCAATGACTGGGTATAGTTGGCAGGATTCAATGACCACTGGGCCTTCACAAAAAAAACACTCCAGAGCTGAAATGTCGAAAAATAATGTGATGGCAACTCTCTGATAATTCAAATGGGCAGGCTATTCATACACCAATAAGGCCACTAGCAAGTGAATGTAGTTGCAATCACAGACCATGGAGCAAATTGGGGGATGTTCCAGTTGTTTTCTTTGGCCCATGTCACAAAAAAATGGAAGGCTTGAATTTTTTTTGGCAGTTGGTTTCAAATATCAGGTATCCAAAATCGCAAACGAATATTAGAATTCAAATTGAATTTTTACAAATCTGGATTTAAATCCCACCACTAGCCTATGGGCACACTTTTTTACACGTGGTAGAAACAGACTCCAGTGGGTTCGAGTCCCACCTGAGTTTTCTCGGTATCCCTCATGGGCAAAACCTAATATTGGATTTGGGTTTAATAGTTGGGGTCAATCTTACCACTGGGTTTTCTGAAAGGTGTTTCTGATCTGTTTGCGTTGGTCTGCGATGATGCGGCCTGCGGTGGTTGTGTTGATGGCCCTCGTTTCTGGGAAGTCTAGGGAGACCAATGAACTGACGACGTTTGCTGTCGAGGGGCGGGACCGGTAGCGATGCTTCCCCACAATGTCACCCAGGTGACGTTTCTGTTATGAACATTAGACATTCGGTTTTTAAAAAAATGTAAAGCGAATTTTCAAGGATTTGGCATAAATATATGAATTAAACATAAGAAAAACACACAAGGAATATGCCCCTGCATACCGGATTTCCAATTGGAGTTTCAGGAGTGACCTTGAATATTGAAAAACATAATGAGGGTCTGACATTTCAATCCTGAACTGCTGCATAAAGATTCTACTAGAAATTGAAATGTCTGGCCTTCCGTACTTTTATGATTTAAAGTATCAGCTAGAAGTACACGTACTTGTATTAAGCAAAACTTTTCTTCCAAAAATTAATTTTTGCTTCACGGTACTACCATGGAAAATTCAAGCAAAACGTTCTTCTTTATCTTTACGTACAGCTGTCATTTTTTTTCCATTTCTAAACTTTTAAACCTATATTTTGAGAGCGTTTAAACAGTGCATTGTCAATGTACGCCAACTACATGTAGTATGTTTTTAAATATAACACTCAAGTTATCCACCTATAAAGCATATTGCCTATAATTAAAACTAACTACGCAAGTTTTGAGGGCCTTTTTTTTTGGGGGGGGGGGATTTTCAAACCCCAAATATGTCTTCATTTTAATCACAGAAACGACAAGTCTGTTTTGTGGAAATCACTATACATGTAGGAATCTCAATATAAATGGTGAGAGTGGAATAAATACAGACTGCATGTACATTTGAAGAAAATCAGTAAACGTGAAAGAGTCAGCACTGTTCAGCGTTGCAAAACATGCATAATTGTACAACTGTACATGTAACAACTTTAGTTTTATCGATTGATTCTCCATGTTACAAAAAGCCTTCAAGTCCCTTTGTTTGATAACTTTTGTGTTATTTCTTTCGTGGGCCTTTGCCTCTTCACTGCTCAAAGAGCTTAACACAAATGTCTTCTTTTGCCAATGGGCCTGTGACTGTAACTGCATTCACAGTATGGATTGGGCCACAAAGGGGCGTTGTTCAGTGGAATTGTTAGCTATTCCGGAATAAGCTTTGGTGTTGTTGTTTGCAAGGACTAAGGAGATTTTCACAGACTTCTCCAAACAAGTTAGATGGGATGAAACAAACACATACGGATTGGGTACCCGTAACCAACTTTACAAATTACTTAGTAACTTCTCAGACTATGCAAAAAGGAAAGTTTTGCATGTCATTTGTGGGGAATTTTCACCAATATAAAGGAAGGCTACATGGGAAACCAAAACATTTTACACGTTTATGACGCTCACGGAAGTTGCAGTTTACACCGTAAAGCTATAAGCTCACTGTACATACTTGTATCGTCTGTACGTTGCACCGATTTGGCAGTATTATTGTGCAGGTCTCTTTATGGACAATCTGAATGGCAACTTCCGAGATTTGAATTTTGGGGTTGGGTTTCTTCAACGGGTAGAAAATTACTGACAATTTTGGAAAAACTTCACACTAACACACTTTAGAAATCGTCATTTTTTTTTACTTTTGGAGGTATTTTTTTCACCACAAAAATACACAGTGTGAATCTTAGATACCCTGGCCACTCAAAAAATCAATTTTGACATGATTTTCCACATGTAGGCAACTTCAGACGCTGATAACTCAAAACAAAGTTTTGGGGGACATTCCTCATTTAGCCTCAGCAGGTCATTTAATGTAGGGATGGGGAACCAGCCTATTGGCAGATCTGTTTGTGTACTAAAGCAACCCAAAATAAACGCCTACCTTATAACAAACTTAAGCTTAGTATTTATTGTACAGCAAGGACAGTACATCAATTACATAAAATAAGCGTGACATGCCTTGACATGTCTCAACCTCAGACAATTAAAGCCAATTTTCCGCTGAATTTTGTGACAAACATGCATGTTGAGGACTATAAAACACAACAAGTATTTATCATTACTTGACTATTCCACAGCAAAGCACCTCTTGTACATGTAGTTTTACCCAATATCCAGCCACTCGATCTGTCTCAAAGTGTGAATTTATGATGATCTGTGACCCCACACAAATCCAAACAATCACGTTTCCATAGGATCCAGAAAGTAGGGCTACAACTGCACAACTGCAGTGTTTTTTTAGGGAGAAGTACCATGCATTAGAACATGCATCGCAGCACAGATATGACTACTTTGAGTGTTTTCAAACAACTACCTTCTAAAGTTTATCCACTGAGTGTTCTATTTTCCTTGTGTGAGTGAGAAATAGATCACGTGCATGTTCTTGATGATGGTTATAGGCCTAGAACATCTTTTTGTAGAGAGTTCTGTGGCCCCTACACTTGCGAGGTTGTAAAAATATAGGGCCCAAGCTTTCAAAAAAAATGTAAACTTGTATTGATGAGAAACTCACATAAAACTAGAACAGAAAATTGCTCTATTCAGAAAAACTTAAAAGTATCCAAGCTGAAAAGTCAATAGAATAGTTGTTATGGTTTACATGTATACGGGCTACTTAACATTTTCAGCAATTAGGCCCTATGTTGTTTCAAACGGGAAAAAAATGCACAAAAAGCAAATTATCCTTTTTTTTTTCAAAAAAAAGCAAAAAAAACAGCTACATTGGTTCCCTGACCACACTTTTCCCGACTTCTATAAATTGCTCTGTTTCATCTTAAGTGGAGTCAGGGAACCAGACTACAAGAACATGATTGTTTTTCTTGGTTTTTCCAGCATCTACGAACACGAAACTTCAAAACAAGTCAGTGAAACAATATCTGCTATAGTCCTAACCAACCCCCCAAATCCATCCATTTCTGAAAGTTACAGCAAAGGCAAATGTTGTATAATTCCCTTTAAATTGGTGGGTACTTTTCCAGGTAAGTGCAAATGAATTAAAGCTTTAAAGCTGAGATTTCACACCCCTGGACAAACTTGATTGCACAAATAACTGTTTCATTGAACTGCAAATAAGATTAGTAGTATACGGTTGCCAACAGCTGATAGCACGATAATACATGTAAACAGTCTAACCAGATGTAGAACAATTTGTTTTCAACATCACCTAGCAACTCTTACACCAAATAGAGCGTTGTGCAACAGAAACTTGTGTCTGTTGATTGGGTTCATAAGTACAGATGCCATGTACAGAGATAACACTTAATACCATTTTCATTTGATAGCTAATTATTTTCAGACAAGATAAATTGGATTCCTGAATAAGAGGAACTGAAAACTACAGATACAACGACACTACCGTACGTTTGCATTTTCTTAATAACTGTCATTTTTAAAGCTATAGTCCATCATTTGCAGCCATCCGAAAAAGTAACTGGCGTATTATTGTTGAAAAACATACTTGGTTGAAAGACAGTAAGTGGACTAAACTCCCTGTGAAATTAATCTTTCTGGGAAGCTATCATTTTGAAGTAATCAACGAAAGAAGGCTTTTCCAACGGTGCGTCTTAAGACGCACCGTAGGAAAATTTAAATTAGTAGTTCGTTTTGTTATTCGGCGCAGCGCGCGCAAGCATTGGCACGACGCACAGGCGCCCGCGGTTGCTATAATTCGTCGGATCAGTGCGCGACATCGCATATAGCTGCAATTCAAAACAATTCAAAACATGATTCAGCAACTTTTGATTTGAAATTGAGATCCTAGAATGCTGTTTTTCTCGGAATGTACAGCTGAAGCTGTACTGAAACTTCATCAGGTTAGTTGTTCAGTATCCTTCATTAGATTTTGAACACTTTTGTTGCACTTCAAACGAACAAAATGCACAAATTACAAATGATGGACTATATCTTTAAGTAATAAAAAATGCAAAATGACCCAAATGAAAAAAGTTACCAAGCCACGACCTCCTGCTTACTACTACAGATGTCTTTACCACTCGACCACCAAGCGTTCTGAGGTCAGCTAGCCATTTCATATTTGATATGGGCTCCGTGCACAAACAAGAGAGGGAGCTTTTTTAACAACTTTTGAGAGCCCAGTGGAAAGGACACACAGCGTGCGCATACTTGGTTTAGCATGTAGCGCGAAGGACGCACTAATTTCATTCTGAAATGTGCACAAACCTTTTAAAGCATTTTCGCGTGAATTTTTTATTAAATTTTTTTTTACGGATAAACATCACAAAATTAGCGATGTCTACTTTGGACACATAGAGCCACATCTTAGTCACATGAACAGGAGTAGTAAATAACATGACACAGAAAATACAATCAATCAATACAAATAGAAGGTCAGGCATCATTAGCAAATGTGTTCGAATGTCCCCCCCCCCTCCAGTTTCGGATTGGGTCGTAGTTTGAGATGTACTGCTATTTAGTCAATTGCAAATTTTAAAAAAAGTTGGGCTGAAATTATAGCCTCAGAAGTCGCAAGGAACTCGCAATGAATTTAATAATGTCAACTTTAAAGTCCACTTGAGATTGCCGCTGTCTGGCCACAATATTTGTAGTCTGAGTATCACCCCTTATCCAAGGAGCCAAGCCTCCTGTGTAACGTCTGATATGTCTAAACATGCAGATACAGGTATGTCTTAACATGCAGATATATGCAAGCTGCGCACCAGCCAATTGGAGTCAAATTTACTAAAATAGTGACGTCATTACATTCCCAAATCAGGACTAATGGTTTGATTGGTCAATTCGAATGTAGTGTTGTAATACAACAGCCAGGCGCACATCAATTAACATGAAACAGAGCCTGTGACACAGGTTTTTTTATCCATGTCTATGACGCGACAACGGGTGAATGACCAAAGACCCGATATAGAAAGCGCCCGCTGATTGGTCAAAATCTAGAGGTCAAGATGTGCTTGCATAATTAATCAGCGAATCTGCTCGAATGGAATAGACTATGGCTTTATCTATTACATAGACTACCATATTTGTCCGTTTCTAAGGAATAAACAATGCATGCGTGACGTATTTCCATCTACGAGCAGGGTCTGTGGTGGCTGACCAGGGTGAGCCCTGAGAATGACGTCAGAGCTAATCGAACGGCATGGGGCTAAACCGTGTCAACCAGGGTGAGCTAAACGAATGCACCCTTTGTAACAGTTTTGGGGGGGAGGGTACTTGTACCGGTATATGGAGGACAAAGTGAGGTGACTACTTACGCTAGCATGTTTCTTGACGTATTCTCTATCTTTGAGGTCGACATAGTCGTAGGCATACAAGCACTTCTCTGCAGCCATGATGCTGGGGTTATCTCCTTTGCTCACGTTGTACCATCTGAGTGACAGTGTCTAAGCTATTTGAGGACAGTAGGCGATGAGGAGATTTCAGCCGTTTCATCCATGATGTGCTGAGGACCTTTCTGTTGTTTAAATAAGAAGAAATGATACACTGAACATGTTGTCTTTGTTGTCTACATTATTACATTTTTTTACGTTATTCAATGTCCCCCCAAGAAGTTTGGACCTTCGTAACAAAGTCATCGGGTTAGTTTGCCACGTTTAAAACTAACGAGAATGTCATGGACAGAGGGCAGGATTTGTAAGGTTTTTGAGGGAAATTGCACGGCACCAACCGTAAACCACATAGGAAAATCGTAATTGCTACCCCAAGAAACTGTTCGAAATTTTTTTTTTAAAAGGTGTCATTATAATGGCGATTGTGAAGTGTAGGGCCTGGTTCCTATAAGGGAACAAAATTCACTTTAAAATGATTGGACCTACCAAACTAGTTGGCGACATTCTCAATAAACAGGTATGTCATACATAGATTGGGCTGGGTTTTGATTTTTGAGGAAAATTGGGGGGTAAAATGACGATGACAGTGCGGCGACAACACGCGACCCGAAAATAAAGATGGCGATCACCGCGCGATGTACCGTGAGCGCGCACGGCGCGCTGAATCGCAAGGCACAAACCGCGCAGGAAAATCGTGATTTCTACCCCAAGAATCTGTTCAAAATTGCAAAACGGGTGTCATAGAATTGAGAAAATTCTGCTTTTGATTGTAAAGGTGATTTTTGAGCATTAAAAAACATTTTAGACTCCAATTTGATCAAAACAAAACAGGGGCCCTACACTTCACGATCGCCATTATAATGAGAGAAGTCTGCCCTAGGTTGGATTTTTTTAGTAATAAAAAAAACCTCTTGTCTTGATTTTAATTTGATCGAAACAAAACAGGGGCCCTACACTACTGTCGCCTTTAAATTACGGTTAAAGAAGTCTGTTTGAAATGATAAAGATACTTTAAGTTTTAATTTAACGTTTAGGACTAAAATTGGGGTGATCGTGTAGTGTAGGGCCCGGTTCCTATAACTTACACTTACACTTAAGTGCGATGTACCGTGAGTATGCACGGCGTGCTAATCGCAAGGAACAAACCGCGCAGGAAAATCATGATTTCTACCCCAAGAAATTGTTCAAAATTGCAAAACGGGTGTCATTAGAATTGAGAAAAATCTGCTTTTAATTAAAGGTGATTTTTGAGCAATAAAATTTAAAAAAAAACATTTTTGACTCTAATTTGATCGAAACAAAACAGGGGCCCTACACTACACGATCGCAAATATTGGGGGCCCGTACGGCCCGTACACAATCACCAGTTTTGACTCTAGCTTGAGTACTCCAGCTCTCTAGGGCTAGGCCCTAGGCCTTTTGACATGTTCGAGTTAAATCAAAACTCAATCATGCATTGCACATAAACAACGTGATCAAGATCGTACTGTTTAACACTCATCAGTTACTCAACTTACACTTCACATTCAGGTTCCACTTCAAACACAGTGTGCCGATCCCGGTCATACCACAAAAAAAGCCATTTTGAGAATCGATTGTTTGAGATTTCTCCCATCAATCATGAATCACCATCGCCGTCGCGTGCACCATGCATGTGTTGTCAAGAACGACGTGTAAACATCGGACTGACCCACTACAAAAAGAGGTGACATTTTCAAGATGCTTGCTTTTTTTTGCAATCAATTTCACAAATTTGAATTATAGTGACTTTACGATTTCAAAAAATAATAAAATGATACAGTTAAATTGACTTTTCTTTATATTAACAAGTTTTTATAGTCGTATTTTTGTAGATATAAAAAGTTAACCACCCTCGTAAATAGTGAATCAACCAATTTGACAAATCGACTTATATCAAGCCTTGAGGGCGCTATGCAAGTTGACCGTTCGTCAGGCTAGGCTAGGCAGGATTAGATGGTTAACTCGGAGTAGCAGTTCGGGGGTTAGGCTATACAAAATACGAAATTTGTTTTTTGGTTGAGCAAAGATCGGAAGGACCTGTCTAAATAACAAAATCGCGGGAAGGGGCGGCTTAAAATTGTTTGTTTGTTTGTTTGTTTGTTTGTTGGGGTGTTTGTTTGTTTGTTTTGTTTTGTTGTTTGTTTTTTTTATGAGAAACATCAACAAGACTTATCCTCTAATCAAGCCATCTTCATCTCATCGCTATTGCAAACCTACCTGTACTGTGCAGACGAGTCACTCGGAGACTTTTTTTTTTAGAAGAATTATTAAGGAATGTTAATGATCCATTTTATCTAGTGTGAGTTTGACTTGTCTATATATTGCTATTTGTTTTTAATTACAATATTTGCTGATTGTTTGACGGATGAAGGGCAAAAAAGCTTGCCTGATGATATGACCAAGTTGTCGTTAGGTCATAAAGCATTCAGAAAAGCACGATAGCTTTAAAACGACACTAAAGTGTGGGGTAGGCCTAGGCCTACTTGATTTGATTTGATTTTTTAAATTGATTTATTCACAATTTCCACATAATAACAATACAGATTAGTAAAGATTTAGCAAAAAAAAAATTATCTAGAACTGTAAATTAAAAATTAAAATTAAACATAGAGAGTCCCCCATACAGTGGAAAAAGTAGGGATAACGCAAAAAAAAAAGTTTTAAAAACATATTTCCATTGCGGTCCCAAAAAAATTACCCTTTACCTCAAGTAATATCTATAATTAGTGAGCAAAACTATATACCTATACTTAATTCTCAAAAAGCTGTAAAATACATAACACTGCACCTTAGAAACATTAAAAATATTTAAAGTTTCACGTCATCAGACAACACTACGATTCACAACCTACCCAGACCTATATTTTTTTATATCATTTACATCAAAAATTAGGATGAACTAAGACCATAAGTTGAATTCCTCAGCTTAGATTTAATTAAATAGAAAAAAATCAGGCCGAATAAAAGAATAAACAATTGAAAAACAATAGTACAATAAACAGTGGTTAAAAGACATGCATGATGAAGAGCATACAAAAATATCAAATTACCTTGAAAAAAACATCAAAAATAACTTTGCTCATTGACCCAATGTCATGTCAGTACTGAAACAACAACAAAGCACCAAAAAAGAAGAAATTAACGATACTCTCCAAAGAGTGAAAATTCACTCCATTCGAGTGAAGATTCAATCCCACCGTCGGAAAGTAGGGACTCGACGTTTTGGAGTGAAATTTCTTCAATCGTAAAGATCGAGGTTTCACTCGAGCTTCGACTGAAGTGGTTCGTTTTTCAGACTATTTCAATCGAAAATGAGATTGATTTTTGCACTCTAAAACGTCTAGTCCCTAATTTCACTCTTTGGAATTTGGAGAGTAGCAATATCCTAAATTGATACTGAAATAGCTGTATATCATTAAGCAGTGACGTATCCGGGGGGGGGGGGGGGCAGGGGGCACCCCCCCCGCGGATTTTTTTGACAATTTTTTTTGTCATGATTGAAATAAATGTTTATATATAGTTCTTTCGACATCAATCCCACCAAAGAAAACCCGCTCAACAACCATTAGCCTGCGTCGTGATAAATAATGTATAGTATATATAATAATGGTCAGTTTTGAAGAGCGCCCCCACCAGCCAGGCGCGGTTCTAGGGGGGGGGGGGGGGCTAGGGGCCCCCACACAATTTTGTCTAGCTCCCCCAAAATAAATTCCGTAAAAAAAAAAAATTGCGTTAGCAAAAAGAAGGATTGTGATGTACATGCGAACGGTCTCCCCCTAAAGAAGAAATAGCCGTGACAAGGGTGCATTAGCTAATATATAGTGTGAATGATTTTAGGATTTTATTGGCGCTCCCTTTTGAAAATATGGCATGAGGGTCCCCCCCCCCCCCCCCCCCCCCCCCCCCCCCCCCCCCCACCTATTGATTTTCGGAGGCCTAAGTGTCTGGAAAAAATAACCGGTCAACAATTCAGCACGCCTCCCTGAAAAAATTCTTGATCCACCGTGCTAGCCCCCAAAAATATTGGTTCTAGAACCGCGCCTGCCACCAGGCCCCCCCCCCCCCACCGCCCCGCTTTTTGATTTTACGAGGGCAAGTGTCCAGAGAAAAAAAACATGTCTACATTTCGGCGCGGATGTGCGGTGCCCCCCCCCCCCCCGACATCAAAAGCTGGATACGCTGCTGCCATTAAAGCTTCTGTCTGAAATGACATCACACTTTTGCTCACACTGTGAATATGCAAATTTTCATTAGCATAAAAACCAAAAAGGCACCAAAATGTCCTTAAAAATTGCAAACTGAAAATGGGACACAAAGCTGCGCTGCATTTCCAAGGATTAGGCCTTCATTAAAAAAACCCTTACATATTACATGAGCCCTCTAGCTTCCAGAGGGAGTCTTACAGACAGCCAAGTTGGACGAGACCCGGCCTTTCCTTCATGATGATGATGATGATGAAGATTTTCTTATATAGACGGGATCCCAGAAGAACACTTTGGGTTTGAAAATTCCTCCCGGTATTTTACATCTAAAAAATATTAAAGTTGATATTACGTGCCTTTTCAAAATTTCGATTTGCTTTTCCGAACGAAATTTAAAGGAATATAATGTCCTGTAACAAATACATTTGCTTTAATTGTTTTGTTTTTGTTGCAGGCTATACAGTTTTAAAAAGCGGTTTTAAATGGCGCGCTTCAGTTCAAAAATTGCGCACACTATTCAGGACGAATTAGGAGTTATTAATTAATGGATTGTATACTAGTCTTGTCGTGGGCCGATTTTGTTTCGTGCGAATTGGAAGCTCATAACTAATGTAATGCTAGAAAATTATCAATTCAATTTGAAAATCTATTTTTTCAAGGTGTCACACCCAAAAAGCACGTATACACCAACTTTAAGGAAAGGCGTTAATTAAATTATAAGCATACCGAGTGTTCCTAAAAGTTGGCCCCCAATAAAACCCGTTACGTTTGTATTTAATATTTTTTGTTTGTTTATATAATATACAAGGGCGTCAATCACTTTTCAAAAGTGTGTGTGGGGGGGGGGGGGGACTTTCGTTGAACGTAAGTAATGCGAGCGCGAAGCGCGAAGCTCTCACGGCGTGGGGTTAGGGGCCCGATTTAGGCCCCGAAAACATTTGGATTACACGCTCTGTGGTGCGATCTGAGGCAATTTCTGACCACTTTAACGCATTTTTTTTTAAAGCTAAAGATCACAATTTAAGCATCATTTTTTAAGTTTGGAGTAATTGAATCAGCTATTCTGAGCTATAGAATATTATGTGGGCTACCGTTTTTTTGGAGGGGGCGAAAAAAGTGGGGGGGGGGGGACAAACGATATGATATCCCCCACTTTAAAATGGGGGGGGGGGGGCCGTCCCCCACCGATTGACGCCCATGATAATATAACTTGTGATTTTTTTTTAAAGAGATGCCGTACAAAATCTCCGCTCACAATCATAACATCAAAGAACTCAATTTATATTGACTAGGGGTGGCACCGTCGCTCACTACAGGCCTACATCTTCGACTGCGTGTATTTATTTTCGCTCATCGTAAACATATACAGCTTTCTTTCATAAAGTAAATTGAATTTTTTTTTTCAATAGTATACTAAACACGTACATACAAATTAAATTTAATACACCTTATTCCTTAAAAACCTGGTTTGAATGTGATAACATTTGGAATGTTGGATTTCGAAAAACATGTCGAAACAAAAGAAAATTAATCATCAAAAATACATGTGGCCAAAATTAATGATAGAGTGACGATCTCCTAACTTTGACGATTCTTTTCTCTAAAGTAAGTTTGGAGAATTCTTTCCTTTTTTTTTAACGAAAGTTTAAGTAACGCTGACATTCTGTCGCGGTTTAAATTAAGAATCATGAGCTTCAGCGAGATGTTCTCACTCGGCCACCGTGAGAAACCATAGCGATATGGAAGACACACCGCTATCGATTTTTTCCCGGGCTGGCTTTTGTACTCGCGCACTCACCGCCCAACAACAAAGGAGATTGGCTACGAGCCAAAAATTGTAAGCTAAAAATAGCAGGTGATGTCATTCATCGCTTTTGTTAACGTCCAACGGCGGCAAACACATGCAAAAACCACATTCCTAAATTTAAAACACGAGTGGAGTGAAAAGCAGTAGGAAGTCTGTAGTAAACCACCCCGGGAAAATCACTGTGGATTACTTTTCAGCGGATGTAATTGCGGTTTGTGGAATTGTCGTAGGCGTTACTTTGACTTGCCTGGGACGGCCGATCTGCTTGATTTCCGAATGATCACCTAGGATAAGATAAATTCGACCGAGGATTTCTCGACGACCGTCTCGGTAAATTGAGGTGCTCAGCCCGTGGGGGTGGGCACGTTGCCTTGGTGCTGCGACGCTTTGGAATAATTTTTTTTTTGACACCACAGGAACTTTTGTTTTAACACATTTTTGGACCAGGTTTAAGTTTGTTCAGCTGCTTGGTCATCTCTTGAATGGAAACCAGAGGAGCTAGGTCAAAACGAGGGATTTCAAGTCGCGATCCTTCACCGGAGTTGAGCAAAAGTCGACCGCGAACGAAACGGGACCAGTCACCGAAGAGCTGCAGCGGTGACAACGGGGCGAGGGCGGCACCTTGTGCGGGGCAATCGGTTGCGTCATCCGGCGAGGTAAACAAGCCCGTGGGCGCTGGGCCAGGGGCTGGCGGTGGCGGTGGTGGTGGATGCTCTAACTTAAATGGGTAATGAACTCAGTCAAATTGGTTTTGTCACTACTGTGGTTCTTTTCTTTTGTTAAACTAATTGAACACTTTATTTTGTAAACATAAAACCTCAACAAAACCGTAAGAATAAGAATCACTAAGATATGCAAAAATGAGCATGATAAAAAAGATTTTTTCCATTGTACGGTACACAATTTTCAAATTGTGGCACAAGTAGCCTACAAAGTAGTTGAAATATTGATCTTTGAATAACAAGATCAATTTTTTGTTTAATGGCCTATCTGCATTTCAGTTTCTTAATATAATAAGAAAACGGTTTAGAAATATCGTTAGTTTAATATTGTCATAATTAATTGAAATTTTAACTTATTTTTTGGATTTGGAAAAATATATGGCAAAAATGTATCAACCTGACGCCACTTCCACGATTGTGTACAAAGTCTATGGAGAGTCGAGAAATTTGTCTTACAAGTATTTCCTAACAAAATGGGAAATGTTTTTCAGTCCCAGATTCATGTCTTATCATTTCTGCAATGAATGACCTTCATTGAGATGATATATGAAGATAAAAGAGGCTTAAAGTTGCAACATTTTTTCCGAATAATTTAACAGGGGAGATGAAGTGGCTATTTTAATTGTTCCTTTTTTGTTCAAATTTTAAGCTGGTCAGTGTTTCTAAAAACAGAAACTAATTAAGGCCAATCGGAAGAACACTTAAAAAAAATACGGCATGTGCCTAATTATTAATTTCATTAATAAGGGACACTGAGTTTTGCAACAGGACTGTTTTTTTCTGCGCACACTGTCCCTGTTTATAAACGTTAATATTGTTTTTATCCCACGCGAATGACGTGTCAGTTATGAAATTTCCTGTTGACAAAATTAGTCTGCACCATGGATGGCCTCAACCAAAGTTGTGCAGTTCTGCACAATAGGAAGTGACTTGTTCCTGCTGACGTAGTTCATGTACTTGGGTAGACTAGACATGTCGACTCTTGCCATGTAATTACAGTAACGTCGTACACGTACAGTATAGTCAAGGAACATCTCATATCTTAGTTAAGATAGAAAAGCCTGTCATACTCAGAAAGTTCATTGTAAACTAGGGCTAAATATGAATACAAGATCTTTACTTCGTGAACTTCAAGCAAGGTAAGTTCATTCATATTTCAAAACAATAACAAAAAGTTTGTGGTCATTTTCAAGTTGTGGTTCTCAAACTCGTGTTGTTATGATGACGGCATTTTTTACAGCATAACAGTATCGTGGCTGTTAACGAAGGGTTTCCTTGCGATGATGTCATTAGTGCACACGTGTCCTTTTAGGGTCATTTTTTCTTTGAGTGATTCATTCAAAAATAAAATTACTTATAAGCTCCCATATTTAGTTGGGTTGTGTTGGGAGCCACAGTTTCAGAATGGTTGTTGGGTGCCTATATAGCCTCAAGATCTTATTTTCTCGAGGCATTGCTGAATATGCCAGTGTACACGTAAGAGTAAAAAAGATCATGGTTGCGACATCGGTAAAGTTTCACTTCAAAGTGAAGCAGATAGTAAGGTACACTAATACATTTCCATGTTAATCTACATGTATTTTACAAGTTAACACTTTTTTACATACAATGCTTCCAAATGCCAAATTTCTTAAAACTATAAATTGTTATAAATTTGGAAGGTTTTCATCTTTTTGCTTTCGTAGGATGATCGAAAAGGACAAGTGGATGGCTAAGATGGAAGACCCGTTGGAGAAACAGCGAATCAGGGAGCGGCTGAGAGCGATGCCTTCTGGGAAAAAAGACGGAGAAGAAAAGCAACGTGGTAGGGGGCCCATGGTGAGATTCTTAATTGGAATAAGCTGAATTGTTTACTTGGAATTATTGTCGTGTTCATTTTTTTGTGTTCAAACTGGAGTTGATATTGTGGAAATATCAACAAAATAATCGAAATCAAGATTTTCACGAAAATACAAACTAAAGTTTCAACGTTTAATATGCAAGAAATATGACTGTGACAATTATTTGATATTTGATGAAATTTATTGTAAAACTTCAAAACTGTTGCCAAAAATTCCATTTATTTATCATTTCAAAAAAATAATTTGCAGGCCAAGATGGAACAGTTTAAAACTGAAATACAAAGTTGGATATTATATTTATTTGTACTTTTTGATATTTTTTTCCTCCTCCCCAGGTTGTAAGACCTCCTTCCCCTTCATCCCGCCAAATAAGTTCGGGTGCGTCGTCTGGGTCCAAGGTTGATGTTGCTAAAAGACCCTCGACTCTCCGAACAAAACGTTCGCCTTCACCCAGACAGACACCAGAGTCTGTCTTTGCCCAACAGGTAATTTTGTTTTAAAATAATTTGCAGATTTTTAGAGTTGAGTTTTTTTGTGTGTGTGCTACCGTCAAGTGTATGCTTATGAATGCGTATAGTTTTATAATTTGTGTAATGCAATGACTAAATCAACTTTGAGAAATGCATTTATGCATGGTTATTCATCACACGCCTGTGATTTGACTCAAATATTAAGGAAAGTCATTCAATGCAAACAAACAAATAACCGTTAAAAAATTCAAACGTTATCGGCCAAAAGATTGCTTGTTCAAACATATTATCAAAATCTCTGCTTAATGAATTCATGAGATTCTGTGCAGCCAAAGATAGCGATAATTGCAGTTTACAAAGCAGCTTAGGACAAAGTTAGCCTACCTGTTTGTTATGAATGGGCGGGATTCGATTGGTTAGCTTTGCCATTTGGCTATCTATTGTGGAAATTGCTTGTACAAAGTCCAAAACCGCTGCCTTTTTCCCCCTGTAAACATATACTAGGAGGTAATTCAACAAATACAGTCTAGATTCTTAAAGTAATGCTGATCTTAAAAATCAAATGTACCGGTATATTTTATTTCAGAATACGCTTTTGAAATAAAAAAAGTCCAAAAGATTCTACGGATCTCAGACTACATGCAGTTTAATTTTTTTTTTTACATTTATGAATTTCATGAAACTGCCATTAAATTTTGAGAAAAATGTTTTCATTCATAAAAACGTGTACATTGGAATAGAACTAATTTGATTTTAAGATCAGCATTACTTTTAAGAAATGTATGAAATGAAATCTATTCATGACATCATCACTTGTCATCATCTGGAATTTTCTTTGATATAACATTTCAAATATTTCCAATTTATAAACAAAATTGTGACTGAAATGTTATTCATGGGTTTAAAGGTCCTCACCACGTCTATTAACACCAGCCGATCATTACAAATAAGATCTAACTTAAATACACTTCAGGGTCGATTCAAGTTCTTATTGTGTCCGCATGTACAAACTCCTATATGACTCAGTTCAGGTCGGTTGTTGCATGGCCAAAGGCACTCACCATTTGAAAAGCGCACGTGTGCGCTCGGCGTGTATAACACGCATTGACAAGCTTTTGTGTGAAACGGCCCACTCGCCTCGCCGCGGTTTGTCACGAGTGACTGATTGCTGTGTGCGAGCGGTGACGTCACAATAGCCACCTCGATTTTGGCGGGAAATTTTTATCAGCCGTTTTTTGTTAGTGTTTGAAGAGCGTATTGTTATCATGTTCAAGGCAAACAATGCTGGGCTTTGCGTGCACCTGCTGTGGTTATTTGTAGATGCCCAAAATTGTAAAGGTCTTCAAGTGTAAATATCTTGTATTACTGTAATACTATTTGATACAGAAGTTGTCTTATGCAACATTTTGACGCAGTACTTGTGCTTGTGAAAATATCTGTGTTCCCAGTACATGTATATCTGGATAGTGTACATTCACAATTTACATGTACATGTACAATTTCAATTTTCAATTTGCTACATATTTATTCAATGTTGTTCCTCATACACAAAATTAATGTTATAATTGCATGTATTATATTGGATATAAATTAAATTCAAACCAACATTTATCGTAAATCAACAACATACATACTCGAACAACATTAGGTTTAGGGTGAAGCATAGCTTTTATACCCCAAACTGTGGACAAATACGATTACAGTACAAGTAACGAATAGGGACAAAACGCAGGGACAAACAGGAACATAACAAGCAGGAGTAAATTAATTATTCATCAGACATTATAAGAGTTAACGATAACGATGATTTAAAATGTCATGCTTGTCCGGACATCTGAGGGCGCTGTTGCTATGATGTCATTTCAGGAAGACACTGTTCAGTTTAGGGAATTTCTGTTCAAATTGTGAACCCAAAATTTGCTCATTGAATACATTTGTGAGAAAGGTTTGCTCATTGGCTTACTGCAATGTACTGACACAACAACGAATCACCAAAGAAAAGCAAATTTACGACAGCAAAATATCCAATACTCTAACAACTTTTTGTGCTGAAATAGCTGTAACATTGAGGTTTCTGCCCGGAATGGCATCACAGTTTTGCTCATGAATGTGGAAATTTGCATTGGCATAAAAACAAAAAAAGGCACCAAAATATCCTTGAAAATGCCAAAACGAAAGTTGAAAATAAGGTAAAATGGGACACAAAGGTGTATTTTCAAGGATTGCACTAAAAAAATTACATTGCATTGGGCCCTTTAAAATGCATTGAGGAAAGAACTACCTAAAAATGGGAACATCTATTGCAAGATCATCACATCAGTCAGGCAAAAAGGACTTTTATTAAAAAAAAGAAGAAATAAATGAGAATGATACACACACAAAAACAATTTCACAAAATAACAAAACAATTCTCGTACGCCCATCTGTCACATGCTGTGGAAGTGTTGTATGTACACACGGTAACCATAGCAAAGAGGCAGTCCACAGACGACCAGAATGCGTCGTTACCAGGCAGATGCCTACGTCACCAGCAAAACAGACTGTTACCGTGGTAACCGACTCTTGTACAACACGCCTATCATTTCATCTGGTTGACGAGCAATCTGCATCTTTTGATTTTTTTTCCGCTCCAATGCAAACACGAGATAAACCAAGGTTACGGAATTCTTAATTAGGCTTCAGGGATGGGCGCGTATTGCTTCTTTTTTTCCCTAGAACCATGGAGGCTTAGAATGAACATTTTGCCTATTGTGAAATCGTAAATTAATGAAAACTAATACAGTTCTGAGTATTCCAATGTTGTTTTTGGAAAATTAAGATTATGGATTTTTGAGCTTTAAACACACAAAACAATTAAAAACAGTAAAAATAATAACATTTTACATTTTACATAAATTTAAACAACACACGGCACACCTAGTAATTAATGCTGATTCCCAGCACACACAATATTCTTTTCATTTGATGCAGAAGTCTCTATATGCATCAGTTTAGACTGACTAGGTTTAACCCATTTTGGCATTACAGGGTTATCCTATATGATAGCACTGCCCGGCTAGTCAGTCAGTGAGTCAGAGGACTCTCGGCTGGCCCTCTGAGACCAGCACAAATTGGTGTAGCCTATTATTCTCGTCAAGCAGAATCAAAGTCTGAATTACATAAATTTAGCACCATGCAACCAACACGACTGAACATTGTACAGTTTTAACATTAAAATTGAGTGTAAATTGACCAAGCATTGTGATAATTTGAAATGTCTGATAACGAGATCCCCCATGCCGTTAGATAGATCCCCATTAGACCTCCAGCTTGTAATCAAACGATATGGTATCGCAGTGTCTTTGTAATTAATGCAACCCTGGGATTTTCCCGTCGTTGCAATTTAATTACAATTGGGAGGGTGGATGTATATGCTTCATGGACAATTTCGCATTGATCAAATTGTTTAGAGTAATTACCGTCATGTACCTTATGCCCCACCCCCCCCCCCAAAAAAACTTGCGCTTAAAAATGCACTCACAAATTTAATGTCTGTTTATAGCCAATGTTATGATTCATTCGGTATTGTCTTTAGTGATTCATGTTCACAAATGTTCAGCCGTAAAAGTGTTTCATGTAGAAGGTCTGTCATACTCAATGACGCTACATTCTGTCGCGTGCCTGGGAATTTGACGCAATTTCGGTCTGAATCACCAAGGCCGACCCACCCGTGATTCATGTGAGATTCACTCCGTAGAATTTCAAGACCGGACTTATTGTCCGCACCAAGCACAGGGCTTTGATATCGTTAAAATCAAAATGAAACAATATTTGGTTTATGTATGAAGGGATATACGGAAAAACCAATGTCATATTATTAACAAGCTCTGTAGCTATTTCGTTGTAAGAAAACAGCTTCGATATATTCTTAGAATCCAGTAATTATTCAAAATTGTCAAAGAAATTTGCAAATAGCCAAAGTTGAAGGAAAATGGAAATATAAGGGGAGCATAACTGGTAATAATAATATAATATCTGTCTGTGTTTTCTGTATTTTACTTAGCAACCGGACACGAAGTGAAAGTTTTTTTTTTGTAAGCGAAAGTGTGAAGTGAATGCTGTAAAATATAGATGGTGGTAAAAATTTGAACAGGGCAGCTAAACTTTAGCAGACAGCATAAATGTTGAGCAGGATAGACCCTCCCAAAACCCCTTGTGGAAAAAAACATGTGTCGAAATTTGTAACAGATGAATCTCTCAAATGGTTTGTGTGAATTTAACGCAGGTTGTTTGCCGGTCTGGTTCCCCGACTTCTCCAAGGATAGCCAGACACAGATCCAGAATATCCCCAGTGGTAAGTATTATCTTATCAAGTTTATTTAAAACAAGCTCATTAAAGCAAAACCACAAAAAAAATCTGTTCGGCATCCCAATGTACAGCATGATAAGGATGTATTTTAAAGAGAAAGAAAAACCATAGAATACCCTGACTATCTGTTTTTCAGAATTCGCGACCTCCTTCCCCGCCTTTCTCCTCACTGAAGCGAAGCCCCTCCCCCTCCCTGAAGCGAAGCCCCTCCCCCCAGGGGGAGATCAGCATCGCCATAGCGGAGGAGATTCTCCAGAAGAGAGTTGAGAGGGCGCTGCACGCCAGGCTGTACCTCCTGCAGCAGAGTGGACCCAACTCATTTGTGATTGGCGGAGACTCGCCCAGTCACAAATACAAGGTCACGATTGGCCCACAGGTAGGCATTACAATGAACATATATATGAATATTCATGAATTCATATTCATAATCAAGATTTGTGAATCCACAATCCAAACTGTGATTGGTGGAGACTCACACAGTCACAAATACAAAGTCAGTATTGGCCGACAGGTAGGCATTACACAATGAAAACGTGAATTATTCATGATACAAAAATACAAAATTCATCTGCAATCCAGTTTGTGATTGGTGGAGACTCACACATCGACAAATACAGGTGAGACGTCTTGAGACATGAATATTCATGAATCCCACAATTGGTCCAACTAGTGCAAGATTTTTTTTAAAATTTTTTACAAATGTTTATTCAAAGCACAATCAAAAAGCTAAAAAACCAAACTTTTTGAAAAAAGATTTTCAGCTTTTTTTATTATGCATATCTGGGCCTACACTTGTTCTTTTTTCTCTACACAATCTTACAAAACAGAATTATTAGATTTGTTTGGGCAGAAGAAAGAAGTTTTAGTGCCTAATTTTTGAAAATTCAAATCTTCAATAAAATGTTGTCTGACACTTAACAGAGCTATCGTGTACAGTGTAGCATGCATTGATGATGCATCATGTATCGTCTATGGCTGATATTCTCGAGTGTTATAGTCTATGTCCTTCAATCAGTTACTGACATCGTAGGAAGTGTTAGCTCTCAAAACCTCAAGGGCCATGGGCCACTCTGGAGAAAATATGCTAGTATTCCTTGTCTGTATAATCAGTCAAGTGTCCAAATTTTGGTATCGAGTGACAATGGTTAAATAATAATTTGAAGAAACTTTGTATAGTCTTTGTGTTGTAGCCCATACTCGCAGAGAAAGTCATTCTCTAATTAAGCTACTATTCACCCATTATTAGTCTTCAAGACATCAGGCCATTCATTACCAATTTTTCATTGAAATTTCATTGAAATGTGGCAAACTTCTCTGGAAAGTAAAACTTGAATGAATACCAAGTGTATGTTTTTGATGTCACCCAACGATTTTTTGTTTGTTCTCTTTTTGTTTTTGTCTGTCCATTACAAGAAAAAAAGAAAAAAGGTGTATTCCTGTGCTACTTTTGGGTTTCATCTCGAAAAAAAAAATAGATTTTGTTTTTTCAATTGCTATTTTCCTAGCAATATAAAAGTCATTCACATTTAAAAGATACAATGAACAATAAGATGCATTCCTGTGCCATTTTCCAGTTTCATCTAGAAAGATAAAAAAAATTTTCAATTGCCATTTTCCTAGCAATATAAAAGTTAATCACTTTTGAAAGAGACATTGAAACAAAAAAAATCCACGGATGTTTTAATTTGCATTATTTTTTTTTCTCACACAATTCAAATTATTGGCTGCCAGACAATACTTTGGCTTTGCAGTGCGGGTTATTTGTGCACAAAATGAAAGTCCCTTTTGAGAGGGTTGTGGATTTTTTTCATTAAAACAAAACATACAAATTGAAAATTTGTTGGGAGAAAAAAAGTCAATTTTTTTTAAGAGTATGGGGTATGTATAGATGTTTAAAAAATTCAGGACATGTTGGTAATTATGAACTCTCTAAATTCTTTTTAATTACGTGAAATTGTCATAAACCGTTTAAAAAGGGGACTTAATAGTATATCCATTGCTTTGGAATAATCAAAATTTGCGGTTTCGTAATAACTCATAATATAACAAAATATATTTATGTTTATATATATTCATGACTGGATTTCTGACCTATTCATCATGATTACGATGACGATCATTGCTCGCCTACGCCCAAGCAGCGTCATAAACTCTTATACATTGATGGCGTCAATTAATGATAAAAAAAAAATGATGATTTCCGGAGAAATTGGCAACTGAAAAATGCCCCTCGGAGCTCGGATCGAAATTGAACATCTGCTTTGCGAATTGTTTGTTATTCGAGCGCGGCATTGTAATGAGACGCGGTTACGTTGTTAGGTAAACCAGCGCAGTCGTGGAAATGACTCTGTGAAGGCACAGCGTGTTTCTGGCCTGTAACCATGGTGACAAGGATGCGTTGCCGTTGGAGCGATAAGAGCTTTAGAGTTGACGCTGTGGTCAGCAGATGTGCACGCAACTTAATTAATCATTGATGGGTTGTTGATAGTCGGTTTGATTGGTAATTGCTATTTTCAGTGCTTTCGAGTAGAAATGAAACAAAATGAAAGTTGAATTTTCTGCAGATTGTATGTGTTACACACATTGTGTATCCAAGTGATTAATTTCCAAATATGTTCTCATCAAAGGAAATAAAACTCATTAAAATAAAATAAAATTATTTGGCAGATGTTTTTTTTTTCAAAGTGAGGCATGCATTTGTTTAGTAAAATCACTTTTATTGACGTAAGCCTGGTTTTACTGTCAAAACAATCGACAGCAATTATAGATTTCAAAAATTGATTTACAACTTCAAAGCAAAGAAATTTATAGTAAAATAATTGGCTTTTACATTAAACTTATGGTTTTGGGATGTTTTGTTAGCTAGTTTATTTGTTTGTTTTGTTTTGCAAAAAAATAAACAATTTCACTCTTGATTGTTTGTTTTGGCCCTTTTATAAGCACTGCATACTCAATGATGTCCAGAGCTTGTGATGAAAAAAAGAGCAATATCCAAAATAAAAATTTACATCTGACTACAAAAGAAGGAATATGTATCTACCAAAAGATGATGTTTTTCTGTAAAAAGCTTGTCTCTACCTTCATACTCATGTGTACGTGTTGGACAGGAAATGACGTAATGTAAATTGTGTTTGTTTTTATTTTCAGAACTGCAACTGTACGAAAGGGCCGTTCTGCCTACATGTGCTGTTTGTTATGCTGCGAGTCCTACAGGTGCCGGAAGGCGATCCCATTCTTTGGAGCCGAACACTTATGAATTACGAGGCATGTCCAAACAAGTAGTCATATTAATCAATAATCACCACTTTGCGCATATTTAATTTCAAACGTTTCATCATATCCGTTTTGAGTCACTTGAAATACATTTCTTCCAAAAATGATTGTAAATGTTTGTGATTATCGAGTAACAATCCACAGATGTTATTGACTTTGGAAAACAACACATGACTTGTATTTGTTTGGATAGTCTGAATTATTTATGCTATTTAAACTTATTGAATTCATATCAACTATTGTATGATATCTGTGTTGTGAAATTCCTCCTGTGATTTATGAAATAATTTGATGGTCTGAAGAAATGTCTGTGTTCTATGATGAAGATTTTATTTGCTTTTGTTTCAATTTGTTTAGGTTTTTTTTATATATTAGGCATGCAAATTTTCCTCGGATCATCTGATTTCCTCTTGCTTTTTTCACTTCTCACTTATGCCATTGAAAATTGAAAAACACTTAGTAAAGTCGAGTAAAGCTTGGAATTTCCTCTCTTTTTTGGTTTAAAATCCCAGTTCCATGCCTCATCCGGTTCGTTAGTATAAACACCATACACGCGCGTACCACTGATTACTAGCGCCCATTGGATAAACGCTCAAGTTGCGTTAACTTCCGGTTCCATTCGTGCTATGCTACACCGTGTGAAGTAATCATGGTTGAATTGAGATGACTCTCCACTAACGAACCGGATACATCTTATTTACTTAAATTTGAAGTGGTTTTCTTCTTGAAATAGCAGTGTGCCCAAATTTGGTATTAAAACTGGCCCAGTGCTCAGAGTAGAGGCCAGTTTATACTCGGCGCGAACGCAAACGCGTATTTGTGACGTCAGGGCAAGTTTTTGCACTGCAAATTCGCAAAAAAATGAACACATTCCAACTCTGATGAATTTTGCAGCGAATGCTTCACGACGTCAACTTGGATTCGCATGAAGTATGAAGCGGCTTTGATGCAACTCGGTTCCCAACTTTATAGACAACAAATCGAATGTTTCTCTTAAAAAAAAATTAATTTTGGATTCTTACAGGTGGAGGCGCTCTTCAAAAACTACCAAGCCCGACAGAAGAAACGTCTGAAACGCTCCAGCAAATCAACCAGTCAGCACGAGAGGAAGTCTTCCCATGATGCGTCAGCAACGACAAGTACGAGCACGTGCACTACGTCTCTCAACAGCACAACAAGTAGCGACCAGAGGTAGGATAAGCTACACTGAAATCAAGTCCAGGGTCTATTTTCATTAAAAAAAACTTTCTTCAAATCTGCCAAATTAACATTATTTCTTTGCTGGCTAGTTGCAAACTCAATTCTTGTTCACAAAACCTTACCAAGCTATTAAACACAAGTTCCTTTTTTATATGTTGTCTCTGTAAAGAGTGGGTGTTTTTTTCCAGGGTGAAAAATAAAATTTTCTGGTCTTGAAAGTCAAAAGTGAGGGGAAATCATTTGACTCTCGGAGAACAGTTTATACTAAAAACTTGTACATTTCTATAACACTCTTTTCTGGCATTTTCAACTGCAAATTTGAATTGAAATGCACAGTACAACACAATGCAGTCTTCGTTTCTTGTGTTTTCCTGTGTTTTGCATTTTTGGCCCTTTCAACCAATGTATCAGCTTTGCTCTGATTTTGAAAAACTTCAATTTTACAAAATTACCGGCATGTTGCATTCACAGTATATTCACACATCTGGCCCCAAAATTGTTTTCATTTTTGCCTATTTTGTCCTTCTGCCACCAATGTAATTAGCTTTATTCTAGCATCGAAAAAAACCAAAAAGTTAAATTCTCAATAGCAGAAGGCATTATGTCAATGGAAAAGTTGGTCAGTGTTTTTCTCAAAATGATGATTAATGAATATATTTGTATTTTTATTCTCTTAGCAACAAGGAGGAGGATTTGTGTCCAATCTGCCTCTTGGAGATGGTCGACGGGGAGAGCCTGGTAGTCTGCCAAGACGGTTGCCGCAACCGACTGCACCACCACTGTGTAGCCATCTGTAAGTATCACAGTAAATAATTAGCATTGATTAAATGTTTATACTTTCAGAATTTCTGTTGACCATTCACTGCAAGACAAACAAATTCTGGATGTATTAGGCGATGAACCTTCAAATTCTGATTATCCGGAATTCTGTTTTTCTTTCTTTTATATTGCAAAATGATTGGATGGTCTGTGTTTGTCCTTATCTAGTAAGATTAGTTTTACTGCGGTTAGAATAAGGCACATTGTTTTGTTCGTATGTTTGTATACAACTGCCCATTAGACTTGAGCGATTCTGACATTTCTGGAATTGATTTTTGTTCCGTCGCGGAGTCAAATCAATTTTTGGGAATGGACTCCAAATTAGTTTCACGAACACAGCAAATAAATTACTGTATTGAGCTACACGTCATCTTTCTCGAAACTATGATCATTTACTACACGCATGCGAGATTTGTTATGAAGTGTCTTGAATCAGATACTTCATGGAGTCAGTTAAAATACTGTAGAACTTCACTATTACAAACAGAGGTCCACAAAAGATTGTTCAGTATAATGATCGTTGGTTATAGCAATACAAACGACTGTCCATTTTCTGTACATTTGTATATAAATTTGGGAGCCTTAGGGTATGTTCGTTATAAGGATAATTCATCTTCCAATGCTAAACATTATGTACGCGTTCAATTCTGTTACGACGCTTTGAATATAATATGCCCTTCTATTTTCAAAAACAGGGGCGGCAGAATGCGAGAGGCAGAACGATCCCCTCAATTGTCCCCTGTGCCGCACCAAGTGGGACACACCCCCCGAGGATGGCAGTGATGCACCCCCAAACACACGGAAGCCGTCCCCAGCCCAGTCCCCAAGGCTGATGCGAAGGGCCAGCCGGCAGAATTCGGAGGCCGGGGAGCTGCCCCAAGAAACACAGTCCTGGATTGAGGTGATTGATTTACTAACATCTCTGAAATCAGTTATTATTTAACCGAAATTTTTAAAAATGGTAGAAATCGATAGCATACATTTGCCTCAGGAACTAGTTTGTCAACTTCTAATACCTATAATATTGACTATCTACCCTTGAAGCATGTTATATTTGTTTTATTGTACCTTTTACATCTCACCAACATTTTGTCGAGTGATGCATCAGTTTTCTGGGTAAACGACTCTGATCTTTTCATTTAGCTAGGGTATTGTTCGCGCTTGCGCACTACCCCCGTGCAATAGTTCCAGGGTTGCTTAAAAAAGCGCACACGTAGTAGACTATAGACCATTATCATGATGCAGCCATCTTGACTTTTCCCATTCAAATAAACATAACCAAAGCGAGGCTAAAAGGAAAAAATAGTCTGGTTCCTTTTTGCACTAAAGCGTTATCATTCAGTACTGCTATTAGATACAGGGAACATGACTGAAATGGCGGTAGCATGATAAAAGTCTATCGCACTGGTAACTTATATTTTATTGGGGTACACCGTATCAGCAAGATTGAAAAGATGTCACAAAAAAATAGTGTGCATCATTGAACCTACATGCTCATAACTTGCTCCCTCATAGACAAAAACAGACACGGAATATGCAGGAAACAAAAATGTGAAACTTAGGATTAACATAGCCGTCGCAAAATCTTTTTGTCCAAACCAGGTGTTTTCAGAGGACCTGATTCGTCCGTTGTTTTCGAGGGAGTGGTCGTTACGAGAGAGCGCTTTCCACCAATTGAGGCCCGCCATACGTGCCAAGATCCAGCCACACGAGGGCGCTGTTTACACACCAGAAGACGAAGCCGTCATCAGGACTTGTTGTAGGATCATAGCCCTGGGCTGCTCGGATCCGGTCTACAAAGTCTACGTGGCTGCTTTGGTAAGAAACCTATTAAAGCACAGTTTAAGAAAACTCGGGACAAATGTTACAGAGCTGTAAAGCTGAATAATGTTCTAAGCAAAGATAATAATTTCTCATGAAAATCAGATAGCTAGCCAAAATGTTATGTGATGCTGACTGTTTCTGACTGGTCCTTGGTTAATGTTTGTGCACAAATTTGTTGAGGAATATTGCGTAGCAAATCCATGGTATTGGGCCTTGCTGATGTAAGCTGTAAGCCATTTCGAACCAAAATACCGAAACAGAATGAACGGTTGTCAGAATGAGTTAGTACATTATAATGTTTATGGAACTTTATAGGAAGTTTTTGTGAAGTGACAAATGTTTTGACTTTCTCCCACAACATGAGTCGCCAAAGGCATGTTAGGGACGTAACTGCCTAGACACAAACCTACCAATTCAACATTTTTGAATCGGAAGCGCTAGCAGTGGAATCAAGTTTTGAGGGAAAAAAATGGCATTGGTGTCCCCTGTTTCCTTAAACTGTAAATTATGCGCTTAGCTGAAAGTCCATTGGAATAGTTGTTATGCAGCTTGCTTAAGATTTAGAGCAATTTGGTTGCTTCAAATGAAAAAAGAATGCACAAAAAGCAAATGATACTATTCCACAATGGTAAAAAACAATGCGGGATACTTCTTCAGAAACAAGGGTTTGAGTGCTTAATTCAGTCGATAAATCCTATCTCTATTCTGGGTACCAGAATGACAGACATTTTAAGACAGAATGCATCATTTATTTGTTGTACTACAGAAAGGGCTGCGCACCATGCTGTCGTGTATTCAGTGTTTCAACGAGGCGGACCGCCATCGGCTGAGAGAGGAACTCAGACATGTCGTAGAGCCCATCCTCTTCAAATGTGCTGACGGCAACAGGTAAAACAAACGCAGGATGTATTACTAAAAACCTAAAAAAAAACAATGGGTTAGTATGATAAAGTAGTAATGCGCCTATCAATTGTTTCCCCCACCCCTATATGTGTCATCGCATCGCATCAGTGATTCCGTCAACTTGTCAAAAGCTGACAAGTTAAACCTAATGATATTTATAGTCTCTAATTCTGGGTTTTCCATCATTGCTAACAGGCGTACCAGTCAACTTTCCATCTCGGCTTTGATTGAGCTCAGCAAGGGTCAAGCAGGGGAGCTGGCGGTTGGACGAGAAGTCTCATCCTCTGGTAAGTACTAGCTGACCACGGAGTTTACTACTGCCATAATGTCAGTCATGCATAGTCGGGCAGAGAAGTTTTATTGGAAGGAGACCAAGAGGGGTTAAAATACAAAAAATCTCACCCAACCCCCACGCTTTGAAATAAGCAGACTCTTCTTGAGAATTTGTCCAGCTTGGCAAATTCTTCTCTTAATTTTCAGACGAATTTAAAACAGCGTCTGACTATTATCACAGAATCAAGTCTTCATAGATTTAAATAAGATTTTAGGTTTTGCATAGTGGAGAGAATTACTGAGAAGTCTTGCATGTGTACAACTTGTGTGATTGTCTCTAAAAATTGACATGAAACTGAAAACCAGCTGTTTCTAAAAGAGAGAAGTCTTACATTAAAATTCCTTAAAAGGGGTGTGGATACTAATTTTGTGCAGATTTGGGGTTTTCAACAAAAATTTGCATTCCCATCCTGTCCAGATTTTGTTGGTCTTGGTGCTGTGGAGTATGTGGAGGAGTGCATCTTTGACTCGTCTCTGTCCTTTGAGCCGGCCTGGCAACCCCATCTTGGCCGCCTGTGCGTCCTGGAGAAGCTCATGAAGGAGTTCCCCGAGGAGTACGTCCCTAGCGAGGAGGATGGCTCGCTGCAGGCCGCCAACTGCGACCACTTGATGCGGGTGCTTCGGTTCGCCTTGCAGGCGGCCCGCAACAACCACAGCCGCATCTGCAAACTGGGCAAGAGAGTGTTTGTCAACATCGCCCGCAACACGGTCCACATGCCCGTCATGTACGAGAAGGTCTGCGACTCGTTGCTGGAGCTGGAAGCAGACCTCCAGCACGGGCTGCGGCGACGCCTGACCAACATCCTGGACGACTTTGAGGCGTCGAGGACCGTTGCTGAGCGATTACAGGAAACCGATCTGCACATATACGGTAGAGTAGTTCAGGACAGTGAAGTGAGCTCCGTGCATGATGAGGACGAGCTTCTTCACTTTGCAGGAGAACAGGACGTTAAGACACCGGAGAGGAAACTTAGCGACAACAAAGATCCCAAATCCCTTGCAGTTGTTTCGGAAGGTATCCTTACCCCACCTCCGACCCCACCGTCGCATAACTCTTCGCAATCTCAAAGGCCAACGTCCAAAATCCCGCAGTTGAAGCAAGACAGGTATGCCTCCAACAGACCACACCTTGCCTTCAAGGGGGACAACAGGCCCAATTTAAGCGATTTCTCGCCCATCCAGAGAGAAGCTGGAGCTTCAAAGACTGAGGATCTCTCCGACCTATCCCTGTCCATTTCTCCGTGCTCGCCCACCGACCGGGCCATCACGTTCAAGAATGAGATCGCCACGGCCAGCACGCTGTCCCCGAAACACGTGCCCGGCGGCCTGAGCTGCAAGGAGCAGATTGAGATGGAGGAGGCGGAGGCCATCGTGGTTGCCATGGAGACATCCATCACCCAGAATCCTCTCCCCATCGTGCCAGGGTTGTCTCCTGGGAAGGACCAAGATGTGATTGTTCATATACAGAGTGAGGTAGGTGTTTGTTCTCGGCACAATAGGTCTCTCTCAAGCACAATAGGTCTCTCTTACGCAATCAAGCACACATTACGCAGTGTTGAAAATGTTCCAAGCACGTGTGCTTGTTGCTCGAATGTGTTCGAAATACGACATAGCTGATGCGCGTTATGCACGTTGACGCTCAAAATGCAGATGTATATGGCTGGTCTGTAGGAAATGACGTCATTTGAGAGAGACCTACAGCCCTGCATACTATTAGCAAAAAGTTATCCTCTAACTAGAGCAGAAACCTCCACACTAAAAGTTAGTGTACTTTGGCTGTGTGTGCATGTAGGATTAAAGTGTTGTAATTGAGTCCATCACATGTTTATCACATGTCCATCACGTGTCAGCCACTCTGTCCATCACATGCTCATCACATGTTCATCACATGTTCATCACATGTCAGCCACTCTGTCAATCACATGTCCATCACATGTCCATCACATGTCAGCCACTCTGTCCATCCAATGTCAGCCACTCTGGAAATCGGGGAAAAACTTGAAAATGAGATTCCATTTTTCCGGTCAGGGAAAACTTGTGGAATTTGGGGGAAAAAAACCCAAATTAGGGAAAACTCATGGGACTTTACAGTGACCCAGAAGGGAAAGCTTTTTCACCAGTTTAGCGTATGTGCGTCTTGTGGCATGTGTCCAAGTTGTGTCCATTGACTGACTGCTATGGTGGTGTTTTAGTGTTCATGCAATGTGAACATTACACACCTCTCCAGACTGCCTGTGCTACATGTACGACTTCCCAGCGACGTTGTTAAAGTCGTTGGAGATATTTTTCATGGAATTTTGGAACTTTCTCAGGGCAATAGTAGGGAAAACACAGGGAATTTTGTTTTCATAAAGTGCTGGGAGCCTTTTGATAAAATGCAACAGTGCCTGTGATATATATTTACACTCTGTTTAATTACAGGATGGGGAAACACCCAGAGAAAAGTGCTACGTGGAGAAGGAGCATTGGGTGAAGGGCGTCTTACTTGGGACCGGGGCCTTCTCCAGTTGCTACCAATCCAGAGATATCAGGACAGGAACCCTAATGGCTGTCAAGCAGGTAGGTTGAAAAGGGAAGGGACAGAAAAAGGGTGCACAAGTTTCATCCATTCTGGTCAGTATTTCAGTTGAGACCGGAACCTCACTCAAAATTTGCTTCTATAATGAGAAATCAGATAAAAAACACCACTTATAAACTTTCAAATATGAAACTGCGAAAATATTATGAAATGGCCTTCTTGATTGTCAGTAAATAACAGAGATGAAACTTTTCCGATTTCAATCAGAAGTTTTTCAAATTAATTTCCAAAATTCTGATTATTCTGACAATCTTTGCCCCTCAAAGTTTAATTTTTTGAATTAAATTTCAACGAATCTGATGAAAATGGCACAACGATATCTGTATTGGGAGCGCAATTTTAATCTGTTCTGCCAGTAGTCAGTGCCCAGATTATACGGTAGGCGCACCTAAGTAAGCCCGGATTGGAGTAGTTTACTGCTGAAAATGAGTTAGCATTATCCTATGGCATGGGTACAGACTACTTTAAGGCTGTTGCACGTTGAGCTCGACTGCAGTAAAACCCAAAATGTTGCCTTATTTTTTGGAGGTTTGAGATTTAGTTGCACAAAATGTAATGCATAAAAATCACAATGATGATCTTAAACATCCTAATTTTTTTCTTCCTGTGAAGGTATCGTTTATTCGCAACACAAAATGCGAACAGGACAAAGTTGTGGAGTCTTTGATGCGGGAAATCAACCTGATGAAGGAGTTGGATCATCCAAACCTGGTCAGACTGCTGGGTGCGACGAGACACAACGGCCACTTCAACGTCTTTGTCGAATGGATGGCCGGTGAGTAGAAATTAAAACCACAAAACTGGAAAACCGTGGTCCCATTAGTACGATGTCCGACCTATGTGCAATGATGACTGAGTTCAAACCCTGACGGGGAAAACTGGTGCTTGTGTTCATGGGCAAGACACTTTACTACAACTGCCTTTCTTAACCTAGAATTGTAAATGGGTACCTTTGAGGGAAGTGAGCTTCCCTGATGATCGTCACATATTCTTGTCTTTATCCGGGCCTTTAAATTTTCTTTTGGGTTTGATTTTTTTTGGTGGCATATTTGGACAGTTTTGCCAATTTTAAGTATGTTTTGGAAAAATGTGGTTTACTGCCAAAAAATTGAGGTTGATATTTACTATTTTGGTGTTTCATGGAGAGTTTTTCTTTGGAATTCTTATTTCAGCTTTTGCTGTTGAGACAAGATGTTTGGGAAAATTTGGCTTATAATTTATAAAATTGCTGCTTCAACGATAATTTGGTGTTCTAATTTCTGGGAACTTCCATTTTTTTACCTGCTTGACACGCAGTGCATGCCCCACCCTCTATATCTCTGTATCTGTCTTCTCTCCCTACCCCCAGGTGGTTCTATTTCCTCGGTTCTGTCAGCTTACGGTGCTTTTGAGGAGCCAGTGGTTCTAAAGTACACACGGCAGTTGTTGACTGGGGTTGCCTTTCTGCACAGCAAGCATGTCATACACAGGGACCTCAAAGGTATTTGCTAAATTATTGACCCAACTATACAATTATTGACCCAACTATGCAATCGGTCCCAACTGAAGTTGAGACCGTCCCAACTAAGTCCCATTGTATCGTTTGCACTACCGTCCCAACTATACTGGACTATACGTCGTTTCATCCATAAGTAAGCTCGGGCGAGGGTCATTAGTCGACTAGTCATTGGTTTGTGACGAAACTGACGCCTGCGCATTAATAGCAACGCGCCAATGCCGCTATAGTCAAACGCTGGTCTAAACGATATCAAGAAACGTCTTGGTCCTGGTTCCTTGTTGTGCTTTATGATGTCCATGGCTATTGGAAAACCAGCGATGCAACCATGCCCAATGATCTGATATACAAATAATGAATGTTTATGAGTGCAACGGTGATTGAAAGATTGAATGGAACATTCCATCTTTCAACGAATGAAAATATTCTCACCATTGCACGAATGCAAGACATTCATTATTTGTTTGATATAACATCCAACTTAAATCTTTGTCATTCGATTGGAGGATAACACTTTAAGAACAAAGAAACTCACAAAATTTTATCATATCCACTACTTTTATCCAGCTTGTTCAAGGCTAACAAAGGTTTGAAATTAACATTGTGAGTTCTTAAAATAATGTAAAAAACTCATCAAGACAACTGCATCCACTTCAAAGGCAAGTTTTGTACTGCTAAAATGCATGATATGGTCTAAATAGCGCAAAGGTAGCGCCGGGCTACTGCGCGTCTCAGCGTGTGCGCGACATGCAATAGATGGGACGAAAATACATGGTGAATGGAACCAAGAATGCGCGGTTATTAAGGTAGGCCGTGCAGTGATTCGATTAATGAATGCCGCGTGACCTACAATCCTCCAATCAAATGACAAGGATTTACTTGGGTGTTATATAATTCCAAATAGTCGACTAGCGAAGTCCAACCATGGTCGACTAAACAGAGTTCGGGCTGACTCAGTCGAACTGTGGTTAACAACAGTTCTTGTGCGAACTTGCCACATGTTGCAGATATTGCCACATGTTGCAGAAGTATTTTTGTTGCAACAACATTCATCGCAATTGTCTTCTTTTTTTAAAAGGTGCTAATCTTCTGCTGGACAGCACCGGCCAGCACTTGCGCATTGCGGACTTTGGCACGGCGGCTCAGATGGCCTCAAAGGTCACGGCGGAAGGAGAGTTCAAAGGTCAACTCATCGGCACCATAGCCTTCATGTCACCAGAGGTGAGAGAGCATGAACAAAATCTGCAGTGGCTTTGTTAAATGATTTACCCACATTTCTAAAGCAGCCCGTTGTCTTCTCTGGATTTTCAATTTTTTTTTTTACAAATAGCACTAGATTTCTGAAAGCTGCCACTGACAGTGATATTCAGACTCAATCGTATCATGCCATAAGCTAAATATTATTTCCATTCAAAAAGAAATGATGCTGTGAATAAGAGTGTATGTCTCCATGCTAAGTTTTTTGAGGATGTTTTGGAAGTAAATAACTTTATTCTCTTGCAAAGTAGTAAAGGAAAGTCTGTTGAGAGCCAATATGGCCTCATCAGGCTGGGGTGTATCTCCAGTTTCCTAGGCATGAAACGAGTGAGAATATTTCTATACCCCTGGATGGGATGCTAGTCCATCGCAGGTTACTCCCCAGCTAATGCCGGTCCAATTTATACTCCTGGGTGGAGAGAGGCAAGTGGGGATAAAGTGGCTTGCCCAAGGACAAAATATATGGCCAGTAGCTGGATTGGAACCCTGACCCTCTGATCATGAGTCACAACTCTAACCACTAGGCCACACTCCCCCACTTTGTTCTCTTATAAAGTTTTGAGACTTTGCAGTAAATATCTTTATGCCAAAAAGTAGGTAATTTCTCTTAAATATCTTGAGTTGGTAAGGCAAAAATGTTTGGGTCAGTTTTTGGTAGGTTGTGGCGAGAGACTGGTTGACTCTTGTTAATCTGTGGCTGTGTACATGAGAAGGACCTTTCTTAAAAGACTCAAAACACTTTTGATTGATTTTGAACAAAGGTTTTGCGTGGAGAGCCGTACGGTCGAACATGCGATGTTTGGAGCATCGGTTGCTGTATGGTAGAGATGGCGACGGCTCATCCGCCATGGAACGCCTCAGCAATCTCCAACCACCTACAACTCATCTTTAAGGTAAGACCTGGCTTCCTTTTCATGGCTGTGCTCGCCATAAGCGAAAATTTCCCGCTTACTGTAGGAGAAAGTTTATTTACTTTTTTATTTATTTCTTATTTTAACTGGATAGCCCATTCAGTGGAATCCACTGATCTCCCATGGGGCCCAGTAGAGAGAAGACAATGAGAAGAAATTAAAGTTTTAGAGGTGGGAGGAAAAGCCCAGAAGAATATTCTGGGGAAAACCAACGGAATCAGGCAGGGACTGGAAACCCAATCCACATATTGGCCCAGGCGGGATTCTAACTCGGGTCACAGCGGTGGAAGGCGAGAAAGTACCGCTTCGCCAACCTGACTCCGTGCTTATGGTTAGCAAATTTCAGGGGTTAGCGAGGAATTTTGGCTTACATATGCCAGTAAGTCAGGATTTAGTATTTACTAAATTAGCACAGAATTTTTCTTGGTAATGTTGTAAGCACAGTATGGTGAAGCTTCAGAATTTTGTGCTGAGCAATGCCATGAAAATAAAGCCATGAATTTGGAATACATCCTTTGTAATTCTGTGCCTTTGCTTTATAATTGTTGTTTTTTTTAAAGTTTTTTCAGATGTAGTGTCATTGTCCAGCAGATTTGCAAAACATTAAGTCCGAAGCATGGAGTAAAACAGTGATTTTTCTCAGTACTAGAGAAACAAGTGAATACTGTTTCTCCTTAACCCTTCATATTTTCATGTCCACTCAAATTTTTTTTAAAACATCTGTAAATCTCTTTAACCATTTAACCATTTTTTTTTTAACTAGTCTAAACTTTTTTACCCCCCAAAAGTTTGTTGTTGCTCCGATTCTTTTCTGTGTATGAGTATTTAGCACTGTTAACGCTAACCATATTGTGTTGTGAATGAATATTTTCATTTTTGTTTTCATCTTTTCTTCAGATTGCGAGCGCAGAAGGACCGCCGCCCATTCCGGACGAGATGTCGACAGGCACCAGAGATCTGATGCTGCGATGCTTTGAGCACAAAGCAGCAAACAGGGAAAGCGCCGCCGATCTACTGAAGCACGCCGTCTTCACCAGGTTATGAAAAATTGGGTGAATTTCAGGCTAGCGGCTAGCAGGCTATAGGACGGACGCCGCAGAATGCAGCTGTCAACCTAAGGCAGTTAAATTGCAGTATTAAAATGGGTTAATTTTGGTGCTCGTTCTTTTGAAAAATATCACCAACACTTTGGACTATGGGCTCCGTGCGCCGACGAAAGAGGGCGCCCTTTTACCTAGCAACAACGTCCCACGGGCGGGACATTTCGCTGGTTGACACGCACCGTTCCTTGTGTGTGACGCACGTACACCAGGGGATTTGTACCATGTACACGCAGTGGCCGTGCTTCGCGGCAAATGAATTGCAGTCAGGCAAGGTGGCGTCGGTCGGTCGCCCCTAACTGTACTCTCTGTGCCGGTGAGGGGGTACTTGTGAACGGAGCGGATAAGTACTGAAATGGTGCTTTTACCTCACCTAACCTAAAGGATCAACTTTTGGAAATGTTTACCAAGAAAATGTCTTCTACAGTCACTACCAAAACTTGTTTGTATTCACTGTGTATTCAAGAATTTCAAGAGGATTTGGGCAGGGTATGACAGAATCGAATGTAAAGTTAATTACTTTGTAATATTCCTTACTTGATTCCTGCCCATAGGGCTTGTGAGCTTTTGCCATGAAGGAAAGTGATTCGTTTTAAGTCAAACATGAGGTTATATTTAAATATTTTATTTGTCCCCTTGGGGTCACTGCCCAATGGAATTGTAAGGTGATACTTTGTGGCAAGCTACTTATATTAAGTGATAAATTCAAACATGAGGTTATATTTAAATATTTTATTTGTCCCCTTGGGGTCACTGCCCAATGGAATTGTAAGGTGATACTTTGTGGCCAGCTACTTATATTAAGTGATAAATTCAAACATGAGGTTATATTTAAATATTTTATTTGTCCCCTTGGGGTCACTGCCCAATGGAATTGTAAGGTGATACATTGTGGCCAGCTACTTACTATTAAGTGATAAATTCAAACATGAGGTTATATTTAAATATTTTATTTGTCCCCTTGGGGTCACTGCCCAATTTGGAATTGTAAGGTGATACTTTGTGGCCAGCTACTTACTGTTAAGTGATAAATTCAAATATGAGGTTATATTTTAATATAGATTTTCCCGGCTATGTTAAAACGTTTATCATTTGAATTCACCGTTTCTAATATTCAAATTCGTCCATCAACATTGATTAATGAACTTCCCAATTTTAATTTCGTTTTTTTTGTCAGACAATTTCAAATTCAGTGTAAGCAAATTCAAACAATGAGCCCACGTTTTCGTCCCGGAGTATTCAATTTTGTCTCGTCTGCGCAAAACCTTGTTATTCAGAAATCAAATTCGTCTAATTGATTGATATCAGACGAATTCGATCTCTGAATGCTGCCATTCGGCAACAGCTTAGACGAATGTGATCAGTAATGATGAATGTTCTCGACCCGGTGACTAACGAGGGTGACCAAACTTTAAAATTGAATAGTAAATGACTACATTGGTTTTGTTAAAAGCGTGTGAAATTTTTCTCGATCGCAATTGAATGTTAGAGTTGGTGAATTAAATCGAAAATTTTTAAAATAGCCGGGAAAACATATTTTATTTGTCCCCTAAGGGGTCATTAACCAATTGGAGTTGTAAGGTGATACTTTCTGGCCAGTTACTTCCTTTTAAGTTGTAAAATATTTCTTTTTGAAGCTGGCGGCGTCAGTATTGAGCAATACTTTTTTATTCAACCATGTTTTTTACCCTGATATAACCTGTCCATTTTTAACTTTTTCTGCCAAAACCCAAAAAATTGTACGACTTTTCTCTCGAAATCTTTTACGAAGGCACCTACTTTAATAAATCCCAGTTTTCTCAGAATTCTTGTGACCTGCAGTTTTTGATAGAAACATATTTTGTCGCTAAGATTTTACTGAAAACTCAACGTGATATGCAAATCCTCCTGCCTTTTTTAAACTCAGAAATATGTCGTGTGTGTTGCATATCCGTCCACATTTCATAGAAACAATTTCTTTCTTTTTTAAAGTAAGCAATTTTTCAGATGCTGTGAATATTTTGTACAAAACCTTTTATGTATATACATGTCAAAGTGAACTTTATACACTTGCCAGTTTTGAACTTTTAGACATTCAGTTTGGAAAGTGCCTTAATAGAGCGTGCAAGTCTCGCCAGGTTGTTTGTTACATGTGAACATCTTGGTACAAAACACTAACTAGTCTATATACTAACAGACTACTGTCGTAGAATTACCAACTTGTTATCTGCGTTTTTTATTTTTAAAGGGAATATACAACATCTGCTTTTGCTGTAATTTTTAGAAATGGATGGATTTTGGGGTTAGTATTTGATAGCAAATATTGTCACTCTGACTTGTTTGAAGTTTTGTGTTCGTAGATGCTGGAAAAACAATCATGTTCTTGTAGTCTGGTTACGTGACCCTACTTAAGATGAAACGGAGCAATGTATGGATGTCAGGGAATTATAAGGTCAGGGAACCAGTCCAGCTGGCTTGTACCCGTTCATAGATGTGTAATAGATTGCAAACAAAATGTGGAGTAACTTAATATGTTAAATTGGGGGAAGTATTTGGTAAAAGCCAGTTTTGGAAATTAATACAAAAACTTCATACCACTTTTGTTGAAAATATCAGCACAGCAGGTGCCATGATTTTACAGGATGTTTAAGATATCCAGTAAGTTTAATATTTTGGTAGCTTTTTTTTATGTCTGCAAATGTTGTATATTCCCTTTAAGTAGGGGTGAAAATTTTTCTTCTGAAGATAGTCGTTACTTTGCAATGTTTTTTCAATATGTTGTAAATGGCAGTTTCTGTTCTTTCACAGAAACCAAATTATTTCCCTTGACTGGATAAGCTTAGTCAGGTTACAAAATGAAATGCAAAAAAAACATGTGGTAGATCCTATACATGGTGCCCAGATGTACTGTATTCTCGTAAAATCTTGCGGGTTTTTGAGGTCAATTTGCACACTCTATTACTTAAGAATTTGCAAGTTTTTAGAAGGACCGTTTGTGTGTGAATAAGTAAAAGACTTTTTTGAACGAAGGGAGTTTTATTTGAAAGGAACCAAGTTCGGTGTGTGAGTGAAAATAACAGTTTTGTTAAGATATACATGAAGAAGGACCAAGCTTTTATTAACTGAAAAGTATTGAAGTATTTTTATATGGAAGAAGAGTTATGTTTTTGTACATTTGAAAATTTGACATGTTTTACATGTAAGTACATGTCGATGTGCAGCTAAGTGTTTAAGTGAGTTTTACAAAAAGACTTTTTATCTTTATCGTAAATTAGGATACTAAACCCTGTCCACTGTTTTGTAAACCGCCAGCGAAGAAATTACACTACATGTATACATTTCTCAGGACATGGGGTTACTAAACCTAGGAAAGTGTTTTCTTACCTTTTAAAAACCAGCTTTTTTGTACCAAACATGGTAAAATGAATATAATTTATCCCTTTTAGTTCCTTTGTAATTAAGGACAAAAATTTGAATAACTAGTTTCAAAAACTGTATATATGTATACTTTTCCCTGTTGTATATATAACAGTGTACATACTGTGTTGTATTTTTGTAAATGCATGAATCTGTCAAATAATAAAAATGAAAGTATTCAAGAAATCTCTGCCTCTGTTCTATCAGTTTTAGGTCTTATTTACTTTGTGGGCACCTAATAGTTGGTGCACACACATTTGATGTGGTATGAAATTGCTTATTTGTCACATTAGCAAATATTTGAGCAACAGATAAACTGTGTTACGCAGTCTGAAATTGGGAGTGACAAGCCCCCATATTCCAAATAAAAGTTTATGCATATCTATATTTGTATTCCTTTCCAAACTGCAGTTTTCTTCCAAAATATGCTAGCAGGGAAAAAGCCATGCAGTGTGTGGATGATTGGGCCTCCAACTTTTTAGGTTGTCTGACGTTTTGCGCAATGAAATATCTTGGGGGGGGGGGGGGGGAATGGGAGTTCAGTCCAGTCATGCATGTTCACTAAACCTTAAGTGACTTCTGAGATTCAAAGCTGCTCGTTGATGAACCACAAATGAAAGTAATTCATAGACTGTCATTTCACATTTGCATATTTTAGTTGGAATTCATTTATTCATGATTTCAGGCAAGCAAACGTATCATTAAGGCCTGTTCACACTATGAGGCAATGGGAACATAAAGTGAATTTGACATTTCAAAAAGGGAAAAAAAAGACACAAAATTTGCAACTTTCACATCGCAACTATTTACTGTCACAAATTCACATCATGCATTTTTGCATTCATATCAAGAATGAACTGGTTAGTGTAAAGTAATTCCCTGGAACTTGTGACCAAACTTTCCATCAGAAGTTCGGTATAGATCATTTGCCAAGTGGTTGGGGTTTGTGACTCGTGATCAGAGGGTCATGGGTTCGAATCCAGTTGCTGGCCATATATTGTGTCCTTGGGCAAGCCACTAAACCCTCACTTGCCTCTCTCCACCTAGGAGTATAAATGGGCACCAGCATTAGCCAGCGATGGACTGGCATCCCATCCAGGGGGAATAGAAATATTCTCATTCGTTTCATGCCACTCAAACCGGAGATAAACGCCGGCCTGATGGGCTGTATCGGCTCGTACGTGACAGGCTTTACACACACATCTTTGATGCGTGTTCAACAGGGATACGCATAGAGCAGACCTGTTGCGCATTCATTGTTAATGAATTAACAAAACAAAACACACCTCAAAGATGGCGGCCGAATGCAATCCATCTATACAAAATCGAGAGTGCTACCATGCAAAGCAACAGAGCCCATTCTCTATGTAGTTTGCAAAATTTACACAATTAAAGTTTTGCTTCCAAATATTACAGGCAGTAGTTTAATTATGTACCTTGCAGACAATGTGAAACAATATGCTTCATTATAGTGTCGTTCAGTACTGGAAGCTCCCGCCTACTTATTTGCATATTTGTACATTAATTATATACACAGATATTGAAAAGTTGTCAACAATTGTTGCCTTTTGTTTATATACCTGAGGATTTAATACGGGAAAAAATGTTGCAACCAGACGCCACTTTTTTCATCATATATCATCTCAATGAAGGGGAGTCATTGCAAAAATGGTGATCAGACATGAATCTGGGACTGAGAAACATTTCCAATTTTGTTAGGAAATACATAAAAAAGTTGTCTTGACTCTTCATAGACTTTGTACACAACCGCTGAAATGGCGTCAGGTTGCAACATTCTTTCCTCAATACCTTCTTAGGGTGATATGAACATCATGTCCAGCTGTCGCAAAAGTCAACAATGGAATATATTCACGGAGAAGCCATTTTCGACCGTGTTCCCCGACTCCATTTTACAGGTTTAAACTGTCGAATGGGAGGGTGCCAGACTATTTAATTATTGGATTGCGTACCAAGCCTCACTTTCACCTGACGTTCAATTTAATAATAATATGGCCGAGACGTGAATAAAGTCTATTGTTTATATTGCCGTGCCAATAATTTAAAGTTTTACTCTGCAAGAAATTAACACATTTTGCAGAGTAACATTTGATAACTGTGAGCTTTCTTCCAGTGTATGCAATGCTATATCACAGACTTGCGGGCCACACTACACACACCTGATACTAGTATACTTGTTTGGTACTTGAAGGGACCAAACACCCAACTCTTGTTTTACTATACACTCGAGGACAATGCTTTGTGTTTCCTTTTGTCCCTGTAATATAACACTCTCCCATAGACTAAGCACATAGACTTATTACAGAGGACCGTTTCCAACAAAAGACCCAACTCCCGAGGACTGAAAGGATCTGTTGTTCTCCCTTTGTGTGTCGGTCCTCGGGGATATGTAGAACACGTACACTCTTTGTACAATAGGATTTGCAAGAACAATAATAATAATAATAATAATAATAATTTGGGAGGCTAATCATCCTTACTCGCAGCTGGGATGCTGAATTGCGAAGGACGCGGCTACAACGTGGTCGGGCCGCTGGCACGTAAAGGCGCCTCTGGCTGCCGGCCACATCGACCCATATATGACCACGGAGCACAGCCTGAGATCGAAAGTGTTTGATTTTTCCGGAGGGAGGAAAACCGGAGGGCCCGGAGAAAAACCCTCGTGGCACAGGAGAGAACCAACAAACAACTCTACTCACATGCGATCCGCGGCCAGGATTCGAACCGTGGTCACCTTGGTGAGAGGCGAGCGCTTTACGCACAAGCCACCCGTGCCACCAAAATATAGGGGCAATGAAATGTTCACACAACACGGTCCAAGTTTTTCCTATAAGTTGAAATCCTACCCGTAACTAGGTCCTGGACAGAACACTGCCTCACAATACTAAGTCGGTGTTGTTGTCCCTTTGGTAATGTAAATGTAGGAAAACAGTAATTAGTGAATAATCGAGTGACGTAAATAATGTCATATTTGTTTTACAAACGCAAAAACGTCACCATTCTGTACAGGCAAAATTACTACCTGATAATCTTTGTTTTTCTATGAATGCTTCAATTTTTCAATCTTCACCACAAAATGAGGTTTCACACACACAGTCATACAGGTTTGTTTATGGTGTAAATCGAGGATTTTCTATTGTTCCTCTTCCCTTTTCCTTTGTTTATACTCTAACTTTTTCGCAACAGCTCTCATTGGTTTTGTACACGTTTTCTAATCAAGGTCGTCCTCGATTTGGTTCCTGTTCTCAATTCATCGATGATGTTGCACGTGTGTGTCCTCGATTTACACCATAAATATGCACACCCACTCTTTGATGATTTGCCAGGGTAAACAAATATAACATAATTAATCTCAAAGAAAAAGAGTTAGTTTCATATTGTGATCAGTAGACGAGCACATCAGGAATTTTCCCCTTAATAAAATTATTGCATAACAAAAAATAATTAAAGATTGGTCTTAATGCAACTGCATCTATATTCATATAATTTAAATCGTTGTTGTCTTTGAGAAGTAAACAAAGTCCTTTTAGAAGTTACAGTTGCAAGTCCACTTATACTTCAGCACTTGTTAAAATGACAAGCCTGCTCAGTATAGTAAGATCCATCAGGCCAAAAAATCTCCAGGCCAAACTGCCTCAGAGTCCGTGGTCACCAACTGCAGCAGGATACAACTGAGGCACTGTTCAATGGGACCGACTCTCATTGTCTCAGAAAATGCCGTTTATACCCTGGTGTTGATAGCTGAATGCATCAAAGTGCACCAGACTTTTACACCCGATGCACTGCGTTGCGTCTGGCAGGGTTAGGGTTATAAGGAGTTCCTCTTGTATTGTTGGAGAAATTTGGACTTAATCCTGAAAATCTGTGACTTTTTTGACAGAATCACAATTAATTCCAAAAACGTTGTCGTGGGGCAAATCTACAGAAGAGCCTAATCCAGTTCAAATGTTCTCAAAGCATCATCTTCAGTGATCTCCAGTGTTGCTATTGCGCCGTCGTTGAAGACAAACGACGACCCGCTGTCCATGACTAGGCAGGCATCCCAACCGCGCGACCGCAGACGGATCCTGTAAATTTAAATACAACGTCAAAGATGGAAGAAAGAAATTGACTGAAGCGGGGTTTGAACCTAGGACCTCCTGAATGCCGTATAGGTGCTCTACCAACTGAGCTATCCGGCGCTACGTTGGCGGTTTCCCAAAAATGTCAATGTCTTTCATCCTAGTTAGAAGCTATAAACTTTAATACCAGGTTTTTGCCCTTCACTGACGTACAAACACTGTATACTCAGTGTGTTACCCCCCTGAGTGAAAGTTGGAAAAATCACTGGGGTGGGACTCGAACCCACGACCTCCTGCTTTTTAGTGCAGACGTCTTACCACTCGACCACCGAGCTCACGGGATCGGTTGGCTGGTTCGAATCTGATGTAGCAGCGGGTACCGCAATGAAACTATTTGTAAGATGGAATTTTCATCTCGACGCAAATTCCATCTTATGAATAGCTGTAAACTTGTTTGTGCCGCGTGGGAGTGAGAAGTCACATTATACTATTGATGTCTGCTGTGATGTAGCGTACGGGGTTTGCCTTTGAGGGCACATATCACATTTTTCTTATAAAATGTACCATAATGTTGTTTTTGTTCGAGTCATAAGAAGTAACAACGTCGTAATTAAAATGGGAAAGAATGTTGCATCATGACCCCACTTTTTTTCATCATATATCATCTCAATGAAGGTCCATCATTGCAAAAATGTTGAAAAGACATGAATCTGGGACTGAGAATTTTTTTAAAATTTTGTTAGAAAATACTTTGAAATGCACTCAACTCTCCATAGACTTTGTGCACAACCAACAAAGTGGTGTCTGGATACTACATTCGTTCCTTAAAATGTCCTTACATACAGACATTGTCCAATTACATGATGTACAAATAGACGTGGAACGCGCAAAATCTGAGACAAACAAACTCAGTGTACAAAAATTCCATAAGGTTGTCTAAGGGGCGTGGCTAACTCGCAAACAGCGATAGGTCAATTGGTACTGAACACTTACTTCTTGGCAAAACCTCTTGGTAAGTTAGCATTGAAGACACCGTTGACGACTGGGTCGCGGACCGTGTAGGCAAGGGTAGGCACACTGGCGTCAAAGAGCAGCGAGCTATTGAACTTGGAGGCAATTCTCTCGAGAAGATCCTGAGTGATCGGGATGTCCACATCAGACTCTTCATTGACTACAGGGCAAGTAAAAAAACGAAACCCAAATGTCGGGACCATTGTTTTAGTGAAGTTCTGCATGTAGCACTTTCAAAATCTAGGATATGAAAGCCCAATTCATAAGCTTTCTTTTAGTACAAGAACCATTTAAATCACTCATGTACTTTGCAAGTTACGGACTTTTAAACACAACCACCGTTTTAAAGTTTTGTCTACGGATCACAAAACAGTAAGTGTTCTTTTAGTAAAACGAAAACAAATCACAGGGATGTGTGTGAATTGTTTTCGTTTTGCTGAAAGAACGCATACCTTTTGTACAAGAAAATTAAACAGTGACAATCGGGCTTGGTGACAAAACTATTCTTGGAATTGATCTGGGACATGGTGACGTCACGCTCTGTTTACATGCGTACTTTCGTAAGTACGTGTGGTCACGTGTGGTCTAGCGGTAGAGCATAGGATTCATGATCGTTGGATTGTGGGTTCGAGCCCCGCCGTGGCCATGCGTGTTGTGCCCTTGAGTAAGGCGCTTTACCTCAATTACTCCTCTCAACCCAGGTGTTAAATGGGTACCGGCATTATTCAATGCTGGGAAGGTAACAGACTCGCTGTGGTGGAGGTGTGGCGATCCCCCCACAGCAGCATTTCATGGACTCAAGTCTGGCCCAATCGCTTCGAAAAAGAGATGGGCACTCCGTTCCTGTGAACACAGGTTCGCCCCTTTCGAAAGTGGTCACAAAGCACCATAGACTATAGGCTCCGTGCGCAACTACCCCCTCAATTGGTGAGGAAGGGAGAATTGGGGGAGACCCCTTGGAGTGACATTCAAAAGCATTGCCAACAATGCCCGATGCTCATGCAAAGACGCTATGCTTTGTGCACATTCAATCGTGCGTACTTTGCGCCATACGCGCATGATCCAGTATGCGCACGCGATGCGTCCTGTCCACGGGGCTCTCCAAGGTGTAAATAAGCGCCCTCTATTGTTTGCGCACGGAGCCCATTTGTGAACGGAGTTCAGTGGTAGCCTAGACAGTGTACAATTCAAACATCAGTGTCACTGACAAAATTATCACATCAGACCGTAAACGGCTAGGGGAAAATACTTACTTATATTTAACAGTTCGCTGACACCCTGGTGCGACAGCTTGTTTATATTGAAGGACCTGTGGACGAACAAAAGAAATTATCATCAAAAGGACCAATGCAATGAATCATCTAGGCGTCACATTCACCTTTATTTTAATCTTGTTTTGCCATTTTAAATAGTGTTTCAAGAACCTTTCGGCTCTTAAGCTCATGTGGATTAAATCGTACAGCTTTCTTGGCACAAAAAGGTTTCAAATTTAGTTTAGAGATGTATGCACAAAATATATAACAGTGTCAGCTTCATTTCATGCTTTCTTCGAAGTACAAAAGATTGAGTATTAATTTATTAATAGGTACTAAGTTAGTACTAATTACTTAGTACTAAGTTAGTACCAAGAACTAAGTTAGTACTAAGTGCTAAGTAAGTTAGTACTAATTATTTAGTACTAAGTTAGTACCAAGAACTAAGTTAGTACTAAGTGCTAAGTATGTAGTAAGTACTTAGCTAGTACAAAGGTAGTACTAAAAACTGAGTTAGTACTAAGTACTAAGTTTGTAGTAAGTACTATATTAGTACTAAGTGCTATGTTAGTACTAAGTACTTAGTATTAAGTACTACACTACTCTGAATGGAAGCTAATACCTACCAGGATGTAGACCCCGTGCCAGTGCAGATAGTGATTCCTGAGCTCTTCTGCTTAACCATGGGGCTTCCATCCACAGATATCTCATAATACGACACACTGAAAGAGAACATATACAGGATGAATTATACATTTAACAATTGTTAACCGGTATTATGTGGGACATGGCATATTTTACATCTTGGAAGATGCATGACATTGAGAGTGATTTGAAGCGTTACTTTTGTTTGAGCATCAAAAGTTCCTAAATTATTCCGGAGCTGAAGTTTAGCCAATGTCAGAGAAAATGCCGACTTTTGCAAAATGACCACACATGGTCATCGATTGCTTTTTCAAAAGTCCCCTCAAAAGGACATGTCGTCCTGGGGGAGGGGGGGGGGGGGGGGGGGGAAGGGGAGTACTGAGAGCCCCCACCGCCCAGCTGGGTGCGTTATTTCCTCTGAAGTTGCTGCTGAATAAAAACAGTGTATTGACAGCTCAAGTCTTCAAAATGAATTTTTCATATGATTTTATAATTTTTTTGCAGAATTGACTTTACTAGAGTTAAACGTATGCAACGCTGCGGCAGTAGAATAGTGAATAGTTACAAACTTGTCCAGCCCGACAGCACATATTGATCAAACCGGGTCATGTACGTACATAAACCAATGGAACATGTGGGTCTCTGCATAGATGTTTTGATCAATATTTACAAATCATTTCAACTTTGAATGGATTTATATTCGTTAAGCTCTGCAGCGATGGTAAATAAATCAGCTTGCATCAAATTAGGCCTATACTTTTTGGGGGGGGGGGGAAAGAAGCAGATATGATCACAGTTGTAATGACTCGGGTCAATGACTCGACTCAAGTCCGACTCGAGTCACAAGTTTTGATGACTGGACTGGACTCGAGTCCCAATGGGTAACTGACTGGACTCCACTCGAGTCACTGCAAGCAAATGACTCAACTCAACTTGAGTCCCTCATCAGAAGACTCTACTCGACTTGAGTCGAAGGCTAATGACACTCGAGTCCCAAAACTGTGCGACAATATATTTGCGGTGACGGTACACCCTGTCCCCCACTGACTGAAGCCCATATGTGGCCATATTAAAATTTAGATACCTTTTTCTTAAGGCCAACACTTTTTTGAGCGGCTGTCTTGATACTCACGTTGATGATAGTGATTCACCGATAAAGACCTCATTGAGTGCCCTGACCGGCAGTACGGTGGGCCCTGGTTCCACTCTCTTCTCCAACCCCTGCCGCATTCGCTGTTCCCTATTCCAGTGTTCGTACTGGTGGTCTGGTAACCTTAGCTGTTGCTCATGGATATCAATGGGTTCAGCGTTGATCAGACCGCTCTCGACGGTGGTGCGGATTCGCTGTCGCCACTTCCACCTGTCTCAAAAATACGGAAAGGGTACGCCTTGAAAATCTTTAAGCCCAACTCCCAAGGCATTTTTGATAGGCTGTAACCTCAATCCTGCAAAATCCTTCAACTGCTTCCAATGTAAAATGTGCATACAGCCTCAATCCTGCAAAATCCTCAGTTATTCCTTGAATGTGGTCCTTGGAGGGATGACCACTGCCTCAATCCTGCAAAATCCTCCGGCAATCACTGTCAATATCTTGAGGCAGAGCCAGTGACATCCTGGAGCAGTGCGGAAGATTTCAAGAATAATCTAGGCCTAACTTTATGCACGGCTGAGCATTTATAAACAACACAAGGTCCGGCCCGAGACCTTGACACAGTGCATCCTCCAAAATCAGCCACACATTTTTGCCATAAGCCTCAATCCTGCAAAGTCCTCCATTTTGCAAAGAGGATTTTGGAGGATTTGGGAAGATTAGGGTTAGAATGTTTTATCTGTGCTCTGTTTGCTGAGGTAATTAACCCTTTGTTGATCCCTTGCCAGATGGCACATAAAAGTTTATGTACTCCGACTTATTCCCCATGACCAGACATTGACATAAGGCCGTGTCCGAAACGGGCTTCCAGAGCTACGGCTACGTCTATTGTCAGCACGTCCCCGCGTATTTTCAATGGGTGCGGACCTAGACCTAGCTCTAGACAGTTGATTCGGATGCAGCCTTTGCTTCTGTACTGATGGCGTAACAATTTGTTAAGTGTGCGCTTTTCTATGGGGCTATGAAACCGTTGTCCCCACCAGGCTACCATAGAAAAGCACACATGTAAACAAAAGTGTGAAGTCATCAGTACAGAGGCTTGTTAGGGAGACTACCAACATCAACCGAAGCTCAGTGGGTAGAGCACTGGCACGGTATTCTGGAAGTCACAGGTTAACATCCACACTTCTTTGTTCAAATTATATCTATAGATTAACCCTAACTCCCTAGCATGATTTACTAGGAACCATACCCATCCTGGCAAATTCCAACAGTACCATATGGGAAACTGCACACACATATTTCTGACTTAGTTTCTGGAGATGTGCCAACCCAATGTAAAAGACTGTCAGTTTAGGGGTACTGTACCTGTCCAGACAGATTCCAACAAAACATGCTGTTGGGGTTTGATGGGTTGAGTTCTGTTAGGGTTAAAAATATACTGAAATCAATTTCCCTTAGTGGTTTATTTGATGAATGAACATTATCAGAATGTGTAGCGGTAAGAATTCACCTGAAATTTCCGTCTATTATTTTCCTCAGGGCTCCGTCAAACTGCAGAGAGTTCTTCTCTGAGAGGCAGAGGTAGCCAGCGGACCTACTGGGATCTGTGTTGACTCCCAGCACCGGTGTGTCGTCTGTCACTTTACCGGCCGCCATGATGAAAGTACCGTCCCCTCCGGCCGCGATGATAACGTCGGCCCATCGTACGGCCTCCTGGTTCAGGTTCTGATCAAACCACTGGGCTTGTCTGACTTCTATGTTCTGCGATCTGACATATGGGTGTGGTTAACAGAGTTGTAATAAAGTCGCCTCAATGTTTATTACTTGTCTGAACTTGGAATAAGGTCTCATATGAGCATTGGTAGAGGGGATGGGGTGGGGGCGTACCGTAATTGTTTTTTTTGTAAGCGAAATCGTGTCTTTTGGCAAATACACCACTTACGATCTGATAGTGTCCAAAAACAGGGGGGGGGGCCAGAGTTGTAATGACTCGATCGAGTAGTCACAATTTTTGGTGACTCGACTTGCGCCACTTTTCAATTGTGGTTTTTTGTGGTGTCATTTGTCACAGAGCGAAAGGCTATGGTTGCCAATCAAGGCAGGTGGAGGGAAAAGTGGTGCAAGTCTCTAGATAGACCCTTTCATAAATTGGTCACTGCTCAGTCAACCGTGAATGTAATGACATGATCAGGGTGTCATTTTAAAGAGGAGATTCAGCCCTAACAGAGGATATCTCCCTTTTACACGTGCCCTACTGCTGTTCCAATTAGCAATATCTCGGTTTGGGTTTTTTATCCACCCTGTATAGTATTCAAATATTTGTGACTCAAAGTGACTCAAGCTAAATATTTGACTCAACTCGACTCGACTCGACCTTCTTGACCTAATGACTCAACTCGAATCATTTCTTTAAAATGACTTGACTCGAGTCACATAAATCAGAGACTCATTACAACTCTTGGGGGGGGGGGAGGCTGTATCCTTTGTGTATCCATGGCATCCTGTACAAAATGGCACTCAATGTTTACAAACAAAAGAAAGGTCTTTATTTCACTCAATACTTAAATATGTTGTTAAGAATCTTTCAAACGACAATTGAACAGTGCCTAGAAAATCAGTACCAGAAATACTTTGGATGATTTCTGTTTAAAGCAAATGATAAAATCACTGATGAATAAACAGCACACTCTGTGTATGAAAATTAAACAACAATCTTTGCATTTTCTAGCTTTTCTTGTCAAACTTCAAATGAAGTTTTCAAATTTCCACCAACCCCTTCCTCCAAAAACAAAATATCTTATTCACTGTACAGAAAGTGGGTGTTTAAAAACAGTCAAGTGAGTAGAGAGACTTACCGTAGGGTGTCCACAACTTTCTTGACGTTAGACACGTGAATTTTGTGTTTCTCCAAATACATGTCATAATGTGACCCTCTCTGTAGGAGCTGCAACACGAAAATAAATTTTAAAATGTTTGTCTTTTGAAACCTAATTACAATCACTTGACACAAAAATGTACGTTAAAGAAGATCATTTCAATATTATTTGTCACATATGGGTCAATTTTGGATCTCCTTTTTTCTTGTCCCTGTTACATCTGACATCTTTGTGCTTTTATGGTTATGATGCACTCCTTAATACCATTGGGTGAGTAACTCGATTACTCATGAGTAGTCTATGCTACTCATTGTTCTAATCATGCTTTTTGATTTACTCGAGTACTCATCCTGGCTTGAGTAGAAGCAGGTACTCGCGAGTAGCAATTCCCTAGGATTCCATTCGTCCCCCCCAAAATGACCCAAAACCTCGCACGGTAAGGATATATCTCAGTGCTGAAGAATGTTTTGTGACTTGCATGCTATTTGCTTGTAAGTTTAAAACTTCACATCATAGTAGGCCTATATAACTCTTTTCTGCTTTTATGGGAATTCGGTTAACTACTCGCGGGTACTCAACTACTCATGAGTAAATAATATAAGGTGGGATCTGAGGTAATTTCTGACCACTTTAACCAATTTTTGTTTAGCAAAAGATCATCATTTCAACATAATTTACAAGTTTTATTTGTTAATTTTGTTAGCGTGAGAAAAAAAATATCAATATGAGGTCAGATCATTTTCAAAAGTTCAGCGATTGTGAAGTTATGGGCCTCTCATCCGGTTTTTTTCCCTCCAAAATACCCTCGTCAACCTTAATTAGTCTTCTTTTAATTCCAAAGACCCTATTTTCTAAATTGTGATTTTTCTTGCAGTTCAGGCCTTGGGGTGGTTGCCATAGAATCTTTTATTTTCGTGTTACGTTTTGTCATCTTCATATTCAAAACCTTGTCCTTTTTTCACATTCTCATTTCTGTTTATTTTAAGGTAGTGGATATTTTGCCGGAGGTAATGACGGCAAACTAACGATTACTAAAGGTTTGCCGGCGGCAATCCATATCAACAGAGGGCGCTGTACTCTTTAAAATAGGGCTGAATTATAATATGTATTAAATTCCCACCAAAAGTTGTGTAGCGCGTTTGGTGTAGTGGTTAAGCAAAGGCTCTAGTAAGCGGGATGACTCGCGTTCGATTCCGACCGCACCACATTTTTAAGTTTTTTTTTCTCATCCCCAAATAAATAAGTACAAAAAAACAGTAACTGCGCATGTTCAGTGCATATCCGGCAAACTAACGTTTACTAAAGGTTTGCCGTCTCCGGCAAAATATACACTGCCTTATTTTAAACACTGCTAATACTAGTAATAGTAGTTTGGTGAGTCAAATAACCCAAAAGTGGATTTTTGTTCTCTTAATGGAATTGGGGGGGGGGGGGGAAATATTGCAACCTGAGTGACACCACTTTTTCATCTCAATGAAATTAAAGGTCATTCATTGCAAAAATGATGATAAGAGTTTTTAAGACATGAATCTGGGATTGTAAAACATTTTCAATTTTGTACGGATATACTTAGAAAATTTTCTTCACTCTCCATAGACTTTGTGCACAATCGCAGAAGTGGCGTCAGGTTACATTTTTTCCGGAATGGGATTATCCGGCGATAATTATACAATCACCAAAAATTTAAAAATATCAAAAATAACCATGATATTAAACTCACCAATTGTTTCAAACCCTCTTCCTCAAGATCATGAAATCGTTTTCTTTCGAAGGAATATCGCGACAGTTTCGACACAACTAAGGCTCTCTTTGGCCTGAAGGGGACACCCTCCCCTCCATACTCAGTACCGCCCCCTCTTCTTGGTTGCTCCGGCGAGTTTGATGATGATGACGAAGACCTGAACAGTCGTCTGATCAAAGACAAAGTACTGAAGTTGCCAGTTTTTGCAATGTTGTTGCCAAGTCGATTTATGTGCAAGCCGAAACAAGTTGCACAAAACCCAATCTGGGAGCGAGACATCATTAATGTCCTTCTAATGCTAGGGCAGCCTTCCAGGTCTCTGAACACACATGACACAGACAGTCAGAAATCCAGTTTAGTGTTTACCAGCGGTCACGTCAAGCCTGTCATTTATCAATCAATGAATCATGTAAAACAGCGTACGTGCGCACTCGACTAAACAAGCATGCATGACCTTCGACCTTTATGTTGTTGTCGGTCATGGTTAATGGTTACATTTCGCCCCATCCTCTTTCACCATATTGTCACTTCGCCCCATCAACTTGGCCTCAAATTTATTTACTCTCTGAAAGTATAACGTAGAGTCGTATGACTATCAAAAGTATCAACTCCTATAAAAACATATTTTTTTCATGCTATTTGTTTTAATCTATTTTTGTCACCTTTCTTTTGTCATAGGTCACGCGTGAGTGGGGCGAAATTTGAATACGACAGCCACTGAAGGAATTGACTTTGTGTTGGGGCGAAGTGACAGTGGGGCGATAATTTCTTTGGGCATTGTTCTCGAACTTTCACGACTTTGTCGATCGACCGCGGCTTTTGAAATGATGAACCGCGGAGCTGAACATTTCTTTAATTTGTTTCTGATAATATTAGAATGGAGAGAATACTGACAAGTCAGAATTGGTACATGAGAGATGTAAGTTAACGACTTGAATTTTTTGTTGGTTTAATTGTGACAAAAAGAAGCAGAAGTTTGATTTTTTGTTTTAGCCCACGTGCCACAGATTTATTTATGTACAAAGTAAAGGGTTTCTACATGTATTTCCGACACACCGGTCGGTTTAGTAGAATATGCCAAAGGCAGTGTATATTTGACCGTCAACCGGTCCCCGATGTTTTCCTTGTTGTATTGGCACTGCACTGACATAACTGAACATGCGCAGTGAGTGTTTGTTGGTCATGCATGTCATGTTGGTCATGTTGGTAAGTTTTTACTGTGATGTTTTATTTCTCCATCTGTCATGTCTGTCCATGCTGTGATGATCTCCGTCTGGTTCCGCATTACAACATTGTTGTCAGTTGTTATGATTTCGCATTCACTGTTCAGGAGACGGGAATTGCAATTTCTGACTTTATTTCCCTTAAAAAAAACCCAAATCCTCCAGACCCATGAATAAAAAAACGAAGTGGCTATCGTTGCGGCAGCCATTGTTTAGCGCCCTCTACGATACTTTTTTGATACGCACGCAGGTATATAATTATTTGTTTTAGCGAGCAGTGCGACAGCTCAGTCGATAGAGGGTAGGATTTTGCACCGCGAGGTTGCGGGTTCGCATCTCAGTTTTGCACTCGAATTATTTTCCTTTTAATTCTAACCTGAGGCTTTGGAGGATTTTTTTTAAAGGGAAATAAAGTCCGAATTTCATAACGTTCAAATTCACTTTTTTCCTTCTAATTTTATATTTTCTTCTCATGTTTTTATAAAAGTTGCAGTACTACCGTTTTAATTCTTTTAATTCTAACCTGAGGCTTTGGAGGATTTTTTTTAAAGGGAAATAAAGTCCGAATTTCATAACGTTCAAATTCACTTTTTTCCTTCTAATTTTATATTTTCTTCTCATGTTTTTATAAAAGTTGCAGTACTACCGTAACTTAGAAAATGGGAAATGCGTTACGGCTGCCGTAACAATAGCCACTGCGATAAAAAAAACCCTGAAAGATTCTGTAATTAAATTAAATGTAATTAAATGTAGTAGCCTAGTAGTAGTAGCCCCCGATAAAAAAAACCCTGAAAGATTCTGTAATTAAATGTAGTAGCCTAGTAGTAGTAGGCCCCCTAGGCCTATTCGATTTAACACATGCACATGACACGTGAAAAAGTGACAGGAAGAAAACTCGGAAAGAATTCCATAATAATTGGACATCACTTGACACCCAGTGCACAAACCCTATGAGACTTGTCTGAAAATGTTTAAGTGTTATCTCACATTCTCAGTGCATGCTTCAATATTTTTCCTGCTAAATTTGACTTTTTACTGGACATGTTATCGCTTCCTGATGGTTGATCATGTTGATAGGTCATTGCAGGGAAAAATAAGTGATGGCCATATATGGAATTCTTTCCGAAAACTCTTACCTTTCTTTTTGAGGAGAGAAAAAAATTAAAATGAGTCATGTGATTGCACTCGGGTCTCGAACTCGGGTCAACTTGGTCATCAGTCCCACGCCTTATCCATTGAGGCACACGTTCGCTCGAGTTGGGATGGTAATTTCTTAATTATAATATATAGGTAGGCCTAGGGGATATTTTGCCATACTTCTTTTTTTGCGGTGAGAGCGCTGTGATTGGCTGCTCTGACGGGAAAGTTATGTTTATTCATGAGAAAAGAAACAAAACAGACGGCACCCTATTATTATTACTTAGTCAACTAGTTACATAACGGTAAATTAATTAAAGCATTTTTTTTTTAAAACAGCTGTCGTCGAGCAGCCACGGTCTAGTTGATTGTGAGTTTAGCTATGGATTGACAGATCCTTGGTTCGCATCCACGAATGCCCATTTTTCATCTACTATTTTTCTTCTCCAAATTGATAGTTGGGATAATTTTAATTTAACGAAAAAAGAAGAGTCTGAAAACCTAAGGCCAAAAAAAAAAAGTCTCCGGTTTCTGGTATGCGCGCGCGTCGCCGTAGCCATGCACGGCGGCAAAATGAAAACGTTTTTTTTTCAATAAAAGATGATGTCTCAAAACCGCCAAACTCACTGGTTTGACTGGAATCCTGCTGCTGCACAATTTTAACGTGTTTTTAGATTGGGTTATGGTCGAGAATAAGCTTTATGTGGCCTCTCTGGACTCCCATATATTTGCCCTAAGTTTAGTCGGGCACCATTTGCAGTCATCAGCACGCATTTGAAGCAAAAAAATCAGGTAAAAAAAAAAAAAAAAGCCGCGTCGCCGCACCACTTTTTGGGCAAGCTCCATACCAGAAACCGGAATCTTTTTTTTTGGCCTAAGTGTCTTGCAGTGATTCCTTTTCAAATCAAGAATGCCATTGTTTTATTATCATCGTTCATTCATTATCATTATCGTGCTTTTTAACTCAAACTTAAAGTTATCCAGATTGATTGAAAAAAGATACTAACCATTTATGTCTTTTTTTAATCAGGTGTTTCGATGGCGTACCGGAGCCAGTTTAGCGTGGTCGCTTATACTCCTACCATTCACAGCTGCACTGTTTGTTCTCTCAGTCAAGGCCAACATTTTTCATCCTTACTTGTGGTTAAGTGGTAAGTCAAAATCATACCGAGCATGCCCATAAAATAGTCAGAGTATCATCCGTTGTTCAATGGAGCCATCTCCATAACCAATGTCTGATTATATGTGAGCATGATGCAAATTTTATGTGACCCCAAGGCCAGCCAATCAGAGTCGACTTTAGAAATTGTGACGTCATTGCGATCAGAAATGTGGACTAAGCTGTTGATTGGTCAATTTGGCAGCCATGTTTTTGTAATACAACAATAGGTTACCGAAGACCCGATAGAAGGCGCCAACTGACTGGTCAGAATCTCGAGTTGCCTGACGTGGTGCTTTTGAACAAATCTCGGATAATCCCACGTTAACATTTAAGAATTTCTTTAAATTTGATAAATTCTGATAAATCATTATTATCTCCACTCACGGACCCAAGTTTGTAAGAAAACTAGTTTCTTATTTGAGGGCGCATTTCAAAAAGGTTAATTGTGCACTTCGAAATAAAATCGTAAACTCTCACCAAAATCGAATTTCTCTGGAACTTTGTAGCGGGAACTGTTTAGAGCTTGATGAAATTTCACTTACTGCGAAACTTGAGGTAAAACTGTTGCTCTAGCAAGGCACTAGAGGCAAGAAATCAAAGTGTGCCACATTTGGGGCCGCGCCACGTTAGCGTACATCAACAATGCACTTTGTACCATTCTTTTTCCATTGGTTTTCAGCACAGTGGTGAATTATAGAGGATACAGAGAGGTTCCTTGCAAAAATTCCCATGCAGCTGATGTGGCGTGTCTCTTTATTTCTCTCTCTCAGATTGGCTGGTAACCACATTTTCCTTCTCCGGTATCAGCTACATCGCATTGATTGCCCTTCTGACCTTGCTGGTAGCCATCGGCAATGTCCTCTGCTATACAGGTAAGAGTTTCTCTCAACAATTTCTACCATTTTATCCTTTGAATTAAGCACAATATACAATTCCAGATTCTGTTTATAAGACCTGATTTATCATAACATTCACTGATCAAAATTCAATATATTTTGACTCTTTAATCTCAGTCGAAGAGCACTTCTACGGTCGTCTTTGAAGAGATCTTTTTAAAGTTGCATACCCCTTGCTCTTCAAAACATTGAATTTTTTTCCCTTTTCAATTTGTTTGTTTTTATCTGAAGAAAATATCTTCTTTACTCTGATTTTGGGCATCTGCAACCCTCTGAAAAAAAAGGCTTTCATTTTGTGCACAAATGAACCCGCCCTATGAGAGCCAAATTATTGGTTGGCAGTCAATAATTTGAATTTTGTGAAGAAATAATTATAAATTCAATGAGATGTCGGTGGATTTTTTCATTCAATATGTCAGTCAGAAGTGAATCGCTTTAATATTTGAGTAGTATTTGAATGTTTGCACGGTAAAGTCAACGGTAAGAGTAAATCTGCAGTTGCATTTATGAAGTGTCTTCACAGCCACCACACGACATTTGGTACACGAGGCCACATTTCTTGGGGTCTGGAGTCTTGTCTTTCAGGCTGATCAACTGGGAGCAAAGAGTATTAAAAGGTTTATGTGCTACCGTGACACCGTGTTCACGAAACACACACACTCCAGCTATTCAGACAGACCTCGGATGTATGGGAGAATGGCCATAGGTTGTTGCTTGGCATTGGTGGTCGTCATCGAGGCTGCTCCAGATGTTGGTTTCTTTTTAGGGATCAAGAATGCCCACGGTTGGTACCCGTTGGCAGTGAGAGTGTTTTTGACATGGTAAAGTTCTTTCTCGCGGTCTGAACTGAACTTTCATGCTTGGTGTTCATTATTGTTTCGATAGTCACAATATAACAGTAGTCAACCATTTCTGTATCTTTCAGTCGTCCCCATTGTACACATCAACCGCCTGTCAATCATCTGGGGCGTGGCCAAGCCCACCCACCTGCTTCACATGATGGGCCACACCCTGGCCGGCGGCACC